TGAAAAATATACGGCGTAACTTCTATATTTCAACAAAATCGCCAAAATTGTTATAACATTCGGGACACTAAGTTATCAATTGACTATTGAGATCTTACTGTTAAGTTATAAAAAGCACTGGCGATTGTCTATAGTCATATGAAGAAATTTTGTCACTAACATAACTTTCATACCACCCGTATAAGTCTAGTTGCAATATTGTGTAAACTAAACTGCTTGCATATGAATTTCAAATCGGTCCAGAATAATCTCATGTCGAAATTATATCATTATGATTAGACTGGGTAGGTTTGCACTCTATGGTGCAATGTGTGATCTGAGCCAATGTTTTCCTAGTTAGGTTTTGAGGTCATTCGTGAAAATATTAGGTTTTAATAATTCATGACATTACAATTAGAGTGACGGCAGCTTTCTACCTAACACAAAATGATTTGCAACCTTTTATTTACAACATAATATATGAAGATAACGAATATCGATGTAAACAATGTTAAAGACATTTCTTTATCACATAAGACTGTGACGTAATTCACTTATAAAACATAATAAAGATATAGTAGAAACTTCAAATATATTTGTAACTAGCGACCCGCCCGGCTACGTGCGTAGGGTGTAATTTATTATACATATAAAGCTTCCTCTAGAATCACTCTATCTAGTAAAAAAAACCGCATAAAGATGCGTTGCGTAGTTTTAAAGATCTAAGCGTACTTAGGGACAGACAGACAACGGGACGGCTTTGTTGTATACTATAGCAATGATACAACAGGCTAAGACAGGTAGCTGACTAGAATTTTAAATGTAATTAGTTAACAACTTGATTAAAGGGCGTATTTGAGCAATGTAAAGCGTAATGTAAACAATAATCTTTGTTATCTCACAATCTGGACTCATCGGAAAGACAAGCCCTGGAGAAACCCTGTCAATTGGACATACTCTCTCAAACTGTCAAACTGCAATCTGGTAACTCATAGTTCTCCGAGACATATGCAGGTACTTGTGGCCTTTAAAGGCTTTTTAACAGTTTGCTTCATCTGAATAACCGAGAGACGTGGTGTTGCACTAATCGTGTAGGCAATACAAGTTATTATTTATAACAGCTCGATTTAAAACAAAATCGAAAAAAAAATAATTATATAATAAAAAATAAAAAAAACTAATTTTGCAATGTGTTGTTCTGTCAAAATTATGCCTTTTTTAAACACGCTTATATTAGTTTCACCTGTATGTATTTAACGGAAACTTTAAACGTGATTTTTCCTCACTTTGGACGATATGATTTGAACTAAACTTTGCATACTTGTCCCATGACAATGCAGTAACATAAGCTATTTCCATATCCGATACCCGCTAGTCCTTGTTCCAAGTACGCATTCAGAAAATGTTTAAAAAATCCTTTTTTTTTGTTGTATTATGGACATTTTATGGATAATAATATTATCGTGTGATGTAAGTTAACGTTTAACATACATAATTTTTTTAATGCGACGCATGGTGTTCAATTTTTTATGTACTACCTAAAGGCCCGGGCCCACCCTGAGAAAAAACCCAATGCGCCTATGGTCACACACATACTTGTCCCGTGTGGAGTCCGAGACCCCCGGCGTCGAAGCCAATACCTTGGTAACTGCGGCACGGAGTCATCAAAATACAAACATTATTATCTAATCTACTTATAAAATACTATTTATACGAGCGATCTATTTAGCCCGTTTATTTTTACACGCCAAAATTTTCCGTGAAAACAATACCTTAGTAAATTAACTGTATTAAGACCGCCCGTTGTCCAGGAATGGTCTTACAACAGATTGGATCCTAAGGTCAACTGGATTGACCTTGTCATCGAATCGACGCACAATAATGGTCACAGAAGCTACGCAGTAATCCAGATATGTTACGAAATAAATGAAGTCGTTTAGCTGTTAGTAGGGCGACCGTGAAATGTAAAACGAAACGGCGCCAATATTTATTGAAGTTCACGTTCACGCATCAAATGTTACACGCATAAAAATGTTATTATTCCGGTTTCGGTTTCCGTTACGGATATAAGTTGTTTTAGAAATTCTTTAAGAAAATACAATTAATTATAACATTAATACAAACGAGTTAAAAGATTGCTATCACCAAATAAATTAGGTTATTACATTTTATCCATGCAATTTTATAATTTAATATTTTTAGAAATTTAAATTTTTATAGTGCTAATCTCTACACTTAAGATTAAACATTAAAATTTGTAAAAACAGTACGAAGTTTTTCGCCGCTGTGGGAATCGAACCCACGTCTTCGCCCTGACGCTTCAGCCACTAAGCTAAACGGCTAATTGCTACACCGACGAAAATCTCAACGTCCTTTATTTACCTACCCTTTTTAGTGCCTCCGTTTCGGCGCTTCGTTTTAGTACGGGTACAATATCATTGTTAATGAAGTTTACAATAAGCATACAGTGAATGAAGAAAATGTGGTATAAATGTTCCGCATCTGTTTATTTGTCAAGTAGTTTTATCAACCTAATCATTAGGTAATAAAAATGCCACTCTCTAAAGGATGATTTATTTTTCAAATAAATAACTACTTTACTCTCTAACATGCTATAAATGCTTTGTATCACTACAATAAGAACCTTTCTATAATATCAATCGTTAATAATATAAATACTTCTGTCTAATTTTATTATAATACATACAAATTGATTCCACTTTTTAATATACTTATTAACCGACTTCAAAAAAGAAGGTTTCTCAATTGGACTGTATACAGCGTGTCGTTACCATCGCGACAATAAGTGAACACGCGTCTAACGCTACTTGCCAATTATCGTAAAAAATATTAACGTTAAACAAAATTCATAATTAAAAAAATATTTATCAAACAAACTAATTAAGTAAAAAGGAAACAAAATTTGTAACAAGCCTCTCCTTCTAACAGTATGTTTTGTCTCTTTTAAATTCATTCAACCCATTCATATGCTTTGTGAACTTTACGTTACAGTTTTATACGTGTTCTAAAATTCTTTGTTTTGGTAAATTTAATAATTATGTAAATATTGATGTTTAAAAAATGTAAATGTTTAATACAATTTTAAAAAGTTATTCCCTATATATGTGTTCATTTATTGTCGCGATTGTAAAGACACGCTGTATATTTTTTTTAATGTGTGTTCGCGGATAACTTCATCGTTTATGAACCGATGATGATGATTCTTTTTTAGTTGGAAAGGAGATATCCCAAGGGTGGTACCATGATAAGGAAACCCGCATCTGATGATGGAATCCCAGAGAAATCGAGGGCAGTCCTCAAATGTTATATGTATTAACAAAGTTTTTTCCGTTTCCTGTTTGAAGTCGGTTTTGTTTTAGTTAAGAAAAATGGACTTGTTGCACAATTGGATGAAAAAAAAATTGAATACACAAAAGTATTTGTGAAATTGAGGCAGCAGTGGCTCAGCGGCCGGAATGATTACTCGCAAATGGAAGTCGCGAGTTGTGATCATCGATAGAACGTTTTAATATTTCAACTCGAAAATTTCACTCGCACACTTACGGTCGGTTTCTGAAACACTGATCATCGTAGATGTCAACTAATCAGCTGTCAATATCATATGTGTAAAAATATAAAATCAAATGGTTTTCAAATTTCATTTTAGTTGCCAAAAGGATGGTTAAACTCTTTGGATTGATCGTTCTGATCATTAGAAGTTCAATTTGGTCAATTCATAGAGTTTAACCGTCCTTTTGGCAACTAAAATTAAATTTGAAAAGCCATTTGACCGCTGATTAGTTGACATCTACGATGATCAGTGTTTCAGAAACCGGGCGTTAGTATGTTGTAAACCTATGCTCTGTAAATTGAGTATAGATAGCATTAACTATCGCTGTGGGATATAAAATTTGTTACAAAATAATTGTATTCTATTTATAACAAAAGTGGTTCACAGTCACATATTTAAGGTACCCAGTTTTTCGTGATTTAAATGATGATTAAAATTAAGTGTCGTTAGTGTCATAATTGAACAATTATGACACTAACGACACTTAATTTTTGCGTATTTTCAACATAATTATAAATTAATCTGCTGATAAGCTGTCAAGTAACCGGGCAGCTCTCCCGATGTTAAGTGATTGCCGCCGCACATAGGGATTCGCAAAACCCGTGTTGCAGATGCGTTACCACCTTTCAATAAAGTGGGCCCCGGCTGCCTCACTCACCAGACGAAACGCACAAGTATGACACTTTCACTTCACGCCGGTATTTCGTGAGCTCGTTATACTTCCCTAGGCGGACCTGCCCATTCGTGCAAGAGATGACCCTATTAGCGTAGTAGTGGGGATCCCCTATACTAGAAAAACATAATGCGATGAACATTGTGTTTTTCCAGTGTCTGGGTGTTAATATACGTATAATATGTATTGCTTTACAAAAGAGAAATACCAACCGCGACAATTGATGAGCACACGTCTAACGCTACTTGCCAATAATCATAAAAAATATTAAAGTTAAACAAAATCCATAATTAAAAAAATATATTATTCAAACAAACTAATTAAGTAAAAAAGAAACAAAATTCTATACAACTACAACTGACTGATTCATACATTCAGACTAATTCAGAGACTTTTTCATTCGTTGCCACAGCGTCGCATTACAAGCCTCTCCTTCTAACAGTATGTTTTGTCTCTTTTAAATTCATTCAACCCATTCATATGCTTTGTGACCTTTACAAATGAACTTTACGTTAAAGACTTACTTTACGGAAACTTTAATAACTCGCTAAATATTGATGTTTAAATAATGTAAATATTAAATACAATTTTAAAAAGTTATCCTCCATATGTGTGTTCATTTATTGTCGCGGTTGTAACGACGCGCTGTATAGTACCCATAGTACATACGTCGCTCAGTTTGGGACTAGAGGACGTTGTGTACAAATGAGAAGCACTGCGTGGCCCAACCACAGTTGAACTCAAAGGTCAAAAAGTCATAAGGTCGCTTGTGCTCTAGCCGTCTTGATTCTGCAGCTGCTTCAGCTGTTTGAGGACGGTGTCGAGGAGTTTCCTTCTGTCCCTCTCGTTCTTCTTCAGAACGGAAAAGACGGAGGACTTTTGCTCGGCCTCCTTCAGCTTCTCGAGGAGCGTGGCGGCGTCGCGGGGCGTGACTAGTGCATATTTGCCGCCCTCTATGCCCACGTCGTGGAGGTACGACGACCAGTCCCAGCCCGTTATCAGGTCTAGGAGCTGACTGAGAACAGAGTTATTACACGTTTAGCACAATTGCAGAGGAAGAATTCGGCTACAGAATAACTATGGATAGATAATACTACTAAGACTCCGCTGTCTGTCTGTCTGTAGGTCCGTCTGTCACCAGGCTGTATCTCATGAACCGTGATAGGAAGACAATTGAACATCTCCGCATACAACAGCTCCCATACAACAGAAATGATTTTTGTGCTTATTTCATAGATAAAATTTGTAGAAAAGTACGAAAAGATTGTCGCCGCTGTGGGAATCGAACCCACCTCTTCGGCATTCGCGACCCGACGCTTTAGCCGCTAAGCTAAACGGCTGACTGCCACACCGACGAAAATCTTAACGTCTTTTATCTATATTGGTTTTTAGCATTTGAAGCATTCTTGCGCATTCATCGTTATATCCTTTCCAGCATACAAACAAGAGAGAGAGTGAAGTGCAGAGATTAGCACTAAAAAAAAATTCATATATATATATATATATATATATATATATATAAGATAACGGTAGGGAACCCTTCGTGCGCGAGTCCGACTAGCACTCGGCCTCTTGGTTTTTTCATGTTGTCAATCCGCCCCGGGCGTCGCAGATGTCCACGGGCGGGAGTGGCGTGAAACCAGTGGGAGCCGGCACCGACCGCAGGCTGGCGAAGTGCTCCAGCAGCTCGCCCTCGCGCAGCCCCGGCACCGGCTCGCCGGCGGCGAACTGCTCGCACTGGATCACGTCCAGGTCGAGCTGGTGCAGCGCCCCCGACGACAGCTGCCGCACGGCCGGGTCCAGCAGCAGGTGGCGCAGCCGCGACGCGATGCGGCCCGTCGCCGCGCGCACCGCCGCCACCCTGAGGCGGGCACGTGCTACACCACTTCGCACCGATAGAGGTGGACGACGGTGATCATCTCCACGAAGAAGATTGTGGCCTCTTTGTGCGACTCCACGCCGATGGAAGTGGAGGACGGTGCCCGACCAGTGTGGGCGCGTGCCCTAACCAAACCGCCCAATTATGGTGTGTGGCGTTTCGATGACTCCATACTGATAGAAGTGGAGGACGGTACCAAATTTGTATGAGGGCTTGCCCTAACCAAGCCATTCTGGATGTGGATGGCGTTTCAGATAACTAGCCATAAAGACATACATGGGTGATCATTTCGGGGGTCGTCCCCTAACCAAGCCGCTCTAGAAATGTGGATGGCTTTTCAGATGACTGTCCACAAAGATAGAGACGAAGGACGGTGGCCATTTTGTATGACTCCACACCACTTGAAGTGGAGCAAAGTGATCATTTCGTATGGGAGCGTGCCCTAACCAAACCGCTCTAGAATGGTGGATGACGTTCGAGATGACTGTCCATAAAGGTAGAAATGGACGAATGTGGACATTTTTATGACTCCCCACTCATAGAATTGGAGGACGGTGCCCAATTTGTATGGGGCCATGCCCTAACCAAGCCAATCTAGAATGATGTATGACGTTTCAGATGACTCCGTTCTGATAGAAGTAGAAGACGGTGCCTTATTGGTATGGGGGCGTGCCCTAACCAAGCCAATCTAGAATGATGTATGACGTTTCAGATGACTCCGTTCTGATAGAAGTAGAAGACGGTGCCTTATTGGTATGGGGGCGTGCCCTAACCAAGCCAATCTAGAATGATGTATGACGTTTCAGATGACTCCATACTGATAGAAGTGGAGGACGGTGCCTTATTGGTTTGGGGGTGTGCCCTAACCAAGCCAATCTAGAATGATGTATGACGTTTCAGATGACTCCGTTCTGATAGAAGTAGAAGACGGTGCCTTATTGGTATGGGGGCGTACCCTAACCAAGCCAATCTGGAGTGATGTATGACGTTTCAGATGACTCCATACTGATAGAAGTGGAGGACGGTGCCTTATTGGTTTGGGGGGTGTGCCCTAACCAAGCCAATCTAGAGTGATGTATGACGTTTCAGATGACTCCGTTCTGATAGAAGTAGAAGACGGTGCCTTATTGGTATGGTATGGGGGCGTACCCTAACCAAGCCAATCTGGAGTGATGTATGACGTTTCAGATGACTCCATACTGATAGAAGTGGAGGACGGTGCCTTATTGGTTTGGGGGTGTGCCCTAACCAAGCCAATCTAGAATGATGTATGACGTTTCAGATGACTCCGATGACGGTCCTTATTGGTATGGGGGCGTGCCCTGCCATCTGGAGTGAGAGATGACTCCATACTGATAGAAGTGGACGGTGCCTTATTGGTTTGGGGGTGTGCCCTAACCAAGCCAATCTAGAATGATGTATGACGTTTCAGATGACTCCGTTCTGATAGAAGTAGAAGACGGTGCCTTATTGGTATGGGGGCGTACCCTAACCAAGCCAATCTGGAGTGATGTATGACGTTTCAGATGACTCCATACTGATAGAAGTGGAGGACGGTGCCTTATTGGTTTGGGGGTGTGCCCTAACCAAGCCAATCTAGAATGATGTATGACGTTTCAGATGACTCCGTTCTGATAGAAGTAGAGATGTATGACGGATGCCTTCTGATAGAAGACGGTGCCTTATTGGTGCCCTAACCAAGCCAATTGGTGATGTATGACGTTTCAGTGACTCCATACAGATACAAGTGGAGAACGGTGCCATATTGGCATGAGGACATACCCTAACCAAGCCAATCTCGAATGATGTATGACGTTTCAGATGACTCCGTTCAGAAGTGACGGTGCCTTATTGGTATGGGGGCTGATAACCAAGCCAATCTGAGTGATGTATGACGTTTCAGATGACTCCATACTGATAGAAGTGGAGGACGGTGCCTTATTGGTTTGGGGGTGTGCCCTAACCAAGCCAATCTAGAATGATGTATGACGTTTCAGATGACTCCATACTGATAGAAGTGGAGGACGGTGCCTTATTGGTATGTGGGCGTGCCCTTAACAAGCCTAACTAGAACGACGGAGGGCGTTCCAGATGACTGTCCATAAAGATACACGTAGAGGACGGTGACCATACCTACATTTTGGGGGGCATGACAACCCACCTGGCCCTGTCGGGCAACTGCTCCAGGGAAGTGAGGACTCCGGAGAGGTAGCTCAGCATGTCCGTGACGAAAGAAGACGCCTGTCCGGTGGGTTCCACTGAGAAATTGAAATACACAAACTATAACAACAAATACGCCTGAAATGTTTTGAGCACTGCGCTCGGCAAACACCTCGTAACAGATTAAGAAGACGAATTAGAGATGAAGAAATGAGAGAGAATATTATTATAATTGGCCAAATGACACTGAACCTTTTTTAGGATTCCGTACCCAAAGGGTAAAACGGGACCCTATTACTGAGACTCCGCCGTCTGTCTGTCTGTCTGTCCGACTGTCACCAAGCTGTATCTCATGAACATGATAGTAAGACAGTTAAAATTTTCACACATAATATATTTCCGTTGCCGCTATAACACAAATAATAAAAAAATATTGAAGTAGGGCTCCCATAGAACAAACATGATTTGGCTTTTTTTATAGATAGAGGTACGGAAACCTTCATTTGGCAGGTTTTTTACTAGTTTGTTTGGGGTATTTAAAAATCAAAATTATAACAGTTTAATTTTTCATTATGAAATAGGTTAATTTGAGAATTTCATTCATCTGTGAAACCGTCAAACATATTGTTTTTGTCCCAACACAGTGAGTCCCAACGACGACTGTGGCCTATAAGATCTATTGGAGTCGCTCCTTCTAAAACGCTGCCCCCTTACTGTAGAACAAGTATTTTATTTTATTTGTTTTATTTTAGATATTTCTGCAGATAAACTTGCAGCTAGAACAGTCATTGTTTAGTCAAATTTAACATAAATTAAAGGCCAATTAAAAGTTTTCAATATTAGAAAAATTTGGTATAGAATTATTTAGCTTCAGTAAAGAAGCGTTAAGAAATAAACAGAAAAGTGGTAAATTTAGTAGTTATACACAATTTAAAAAAAATATATTTAAATGAATTAACAAGGAAGTAAGAGACTCCTCAATAAGGCTAACTACTTTTAAAGAAATTATTACACGTGCATTTTTTTAAACTAGCAACACTTGCATTGAAAATCGTATTGAATAAATATAATTAAATATTTAAATTTGAAAAGTTCACCAAGCAACCAGTCGTAGTTCTCCAGGTCGAGGAACTCGTCCACCTTCTTCTCCAGGTTGGTGCAGATCTGCTGTTCGGCGTCATCGCGCGCCGCCTGGAACATGCTTCCGGCGGCCTAGGGAGTGGACCGCGTGGTCATCATGTCAGTTCATCACCGCTTTAACTCAATTTTTTTCGCCATTTGAAGATAATTTCATCGTTTTCTCAGCCCTTTAGGTCTAACACCTATGACGATAGAGGTTAGTACCAGCCCAAAAGCTCCGTGGGTATTGGCTAGCCCACCGCTTCTGCGTCAGACGAAGCTTTAATAGTCTCGGGACTGAAAGCAAAAAGATCATTAAAACATGTAGATAAAGTACGGAAAGATTGTCGCCGCTGTGGGAATCGAACCCACGTCTTTGGTATTATTTTTTTTAATTTAGGTTTTAATGTTCAATCTTATGTGCAGAGATTAGCACTATAAAAAACTTTAAAATGTATAAAGCAAAAACATCAGTTAATACAAGAAGGGTTAGTACGTGGAAATTTTTTACCTTCTCGCATTAACCGTGAACTGTAATGGGCTAACGACCCGCCCCGGTATCGCACATGCGCAACATAGATACTAATTTGGCGTCAGTGTGCAGTGGAAGGAGGAGCAATTTCATCATACATTTTATTGTTATAAATATCGAAAGGATATATCAGATCGGTGAAAGCTGTCGGGTTATTTTGATTTTTCAAAAGGATATTAGAGCAGTTTCGATGAAAGTCGGTCGGCTAAATTTCGCCAGGCATCTTGAAAAATTATCTCGTCATAAGCGAACAAATCAGCACAAAACAAAATTAAACTATACGTGTAATGCCCTCTTAAATCACTCTATCTATTGATGAGGAACGCATTAAAATCCATTGCGTAGTTTAAAAGTTCGAAGCGTACAGAGGTACAGACGACGGGACGCGACTTTATATAATTCTTTTATGGGATTACAGACAGCCATATAATGTCTAAGGTTAGTCAAATGCTTGGGTACACATAAAAAAATCACAATATCCGTATACCGTTTTTCCAAAGTTTTTTTTTTTCAATTCGAAAAGAATAATAGATTTCACTACTGTGACATTTACCAAGACATGTAATGCAGAAGAATTATAATTATCGTGTGCAATGAAAACTTAATAAAACATTTAAAAAAAAACGAACGAGATAAAGCCTTTAAATGTTGTTTCTTTTACATTTAACAAAGTAACGCAAAACGACGTCTTTATTTAATTACAAAAAATTGTGAATCAAATGAAATTATTAAACTCATTTAAAAGCTACCTGTGTGGTGACAAGTTCGGAGCCCGTGATGTTGCTTATGAACTCATATAAGAAGGAAGTGGCATCCTCCAAATACTGCGTGTCTACAATGATCTGCGAAAGACATTATTAATTTTTATTACGTTTCCAATTTCAAGCGAAATTTGCTAATATAATAGTCCCAATTTCTGCACTTAAGGCGGAACATTAAAATTTGTAGAAAAACGGACGTTATGTTTTTCACCGCCGAGGGAATCGAAGCCACGTCTTCGGGATAGACGCCCAGACGCTTTAACCGCTAAGCTGAATTGCAGATTGCCACCATAGGCGTATATAGCAGATTTTGGGTTACCGATTCGAAATTCTAGACTGGACACACATATGAAACTATCCATATAAAAAAATCAGTTGAGATGAGTGAGACGTTCTCAAGCATTACTCTTCTTCATATAGGAAACTAGCGACCCGCCCCAGTTTCGTACGGGTGTAGATATTGATATTCTCGAATTTTTCTCTACTATAATATGCATAATGTTTTTTTTTTTGTAGTAATGGCCCAGGCCCACCCTGGAAAATGGCCCTAGATACGCCAATGATTGCCACACCAACGAAAATCTCAACATCTTTTATCTACATTATTTTTTCCGATTTTTAGCAACGAGGAACTTTATTTGTTAGCACTAAAATGGCTATAATATGTATATGCGAAATGGAAACGAGTTTCGCTCTAATGGACTCGACTTTCGAGTTCCAGACGAGATTGAAAAAATGGTTATTTTACTAAGGAAAAATAAAACCGACTTCAAATATCTCGCTCTTTATTCATTTTATAATTGATTTTCAGGAGTTTCCTAAGTATCTCCGGAGCCCGAGATCCAATACCGATGAAATTAATATGGGAACAATATGGGAAGCACCGGCTTTTAAATAAATAAATAAGCATCAAAATTGATTCAATCAGTCGAAAGTTATGAGGTAACAAACATAAAAAAAAGTACAGTCGAATTGAGAGCCTCCGGCTTCTTTAAAATCGGTTGAAAAGTAGCCGCGTCACTCCATCTAGTGGGAAGTCATCCCACACACATCTCGTAATAAAAAAATAAAATAAAATTAGCCGCGTCACTCCATCTAGTGGGTGTCGTTCTACGCACATCTTATATATAAAATAAAGACATCTTACACACAAAAAAAAGTTTAGTGGAAGTCATCCTACACATCTTGTTCATAAAAAAAGTAGCCTCTTCCCACCTGCACCAGCTGCACCAGCGGCAGCGGGCGGCGGAACAGCGCCGAGAGGCAGCCGGTGAACGAACGGCTGAGCAGCAGCGAGGCCGAGTGGCGGGCGGCGGCCGCCCGCCTCGAGCCGCCCATCCCCAGCCCCGAGGAGTACTTCAGCCACGCGTAGATGAACTCCTTCACCTGCACGTACACCGCGGGGACGGTGCTCGAGAACGGGAACCTGCCGGCGCGGGTCAGAGGAGTCACGGCCCGACGACTCAGCGGGCACCGTATAGGTATAATGGGTCAGCTAGAGTCACGGCCCGACGACTCAGCGGGCACCGTATAGGTATAATGGGTCAGCTAGTGTCACGGCCCGACGACTCAGCGGGCACCGTATAGGTATAATGGGTCAGCTAGAGTCACGGCCCGACGACTCAGCTAGAGTCACGGCCCGACGACTCAGCGGGCACCGTATAGGTATAATGGGTCAGCTAGTGTCACGGCCCGACGACTCAGCGGGCACCGTATAGGTATAATGGGTCAGCTAGAGTCACGGCCCGATGACTCGGCGGCGCATTACTTTACGCAATGACCGAGGACGAGTCCAATTTTCAAAAGGTTGTCAACACATCATCAACAGCACTTAATGCAGCACTTAATATCAGGTGAACCGCTCGCCTGGCAATTTTTCACATAAAAAAAGGTAAAACCTGGTGGGTAGCGAACAAAATTTATACGTATTATCTCTACTACCCATGCAAAGCCGCGGCGGATCGCTGGTGTATAATAATTGTTTTAACGACAATTAAACTTACTTTCTCGGGAAAGGTTGGGTCTCCAGTTCATCCCCGTCGTAGGGAAACGTGTCCATAATGCCGTCGTACTGTTCCTGGTTCTCTACCTGCAACGTGATAGTTAGTTGGTCGACTGTTAGTTTCCAATGCCAACTTTATTTAGTTAAGTAGGCGGACCCGAGTGATACTAAGGTCTTGGACAATTTCCATGAAAGCATCCATTTTAAAATGACCATAGAAGACGAATGACTCCGTGGCGCATTTGCCAATTGGGATCGAACCCACACCCTACCGCGCAAAAGGCAGATTCACTGCCCATCTATAAGCTATGATTACACGAAATAACTGGGTGTCACAAAGGACTTAAATTTAAGGACCTGTAAAAAATTGTCTCATATATTTTGAATGCTACCTCGATGGGCAAGAAGGAAGCGTTGTCCAGGATGTCCCTGAACACCACCACCCATCGCTGCATCAGCACCTCTGTGTAGTGCTCAGCCATCTCTTGGAGCAGAAGCGGCAGTGGTTCGGTTGGCAAACCGTAGCACCTGAAAAATAATAATCTGTCCAGCCTCCTTCTAAGAGTAATTAGCTCAGCGTTGAAAGAGCCATTTGTCCCACACATGGTTCTTTCAACTTAAAGCTATAACCTCTCGTAAAATACAAGCATGGGTAGATAAATAATAAGATGTTTAATTTACACCAATATAATTATATTACAATACAAAACATTGTTTATATGACTTTGTGATATGATGGTAAGCTATTGATTTCAGCGCCGGAAGTCATGAGTTCGATTCCTAGATGGGCGATAAATTGAGGTATTCTGCACTAGCTGTGTCCGCGACTTCGCGTGGATCTTATATATTACATACACTCCAATTTTTTTTATCTATATAGATAATTCCCACAGATAATAAAATAAAATAAATAATAAATAAAATATCTTTATTCACATAGACGCTTGCGCGTTCTTATGAAACGTCAAAATTTTACAAGAAATTAACACGTTCGTAAGTTACCACCGGTTCGGAAAGCAGTTTCTGTTGAGAAGAAACCGGCAAGAAACTCAACAGTTGCTCTTTTTTAAAAAATCAGTTTACAATATAATAGTACAGGTACAATAGTCTTGTTTAGCCTACGTGAGTATCAACAGTATTAACCCCACACATTGGCGTCGTCAAGATATTCGGCAATAGTATAATAGGCTTTAGCCATAAGTGTACTTTTAATTTTTCGTTTAAAATTCATCAAGTGGCAGACTTAACATCGACTGTGGGATTTTATTATACATGCGCACACTTTGCCCCATGAACGATCTGTTTACTTTTTGTAAGGCGAAATAATGGCGTAGTTAGTTTGTCCTTATTTCTAGTATTTAGTTTATGTCTGTCACTATTCTTTTGATAATTATTAATATTCTGTTTAACATACAAAATATTACAATAAATATATTGAGACGCAACAGTGAGTATATTAATCTCTTTAAAAAGATCTCTGAGTGTATTCCGGCCTCCGATGTTATAAATTGCTCGGACAGCTCTTTTTTGAATAATAAATATTGAATTTATATCAGATGCACTACCCCACAACAAAATGCCGTACGACAAGATGCTGTGAAAATAACTGTAGTAAACAAGTCTGGCAGTGTCGATGTCTGATAGCTGCCTAACCTTCCTAATTGCAAAAAAACAGCGGAGCTTAACCTATCGCAAGAAATGATAGATGGGGACTCCATTGGAGCTTTGAATCTACTGTGATTCCCAAGAATACAGCGGACTCAACAGGATTAAGGGTTACGCTATTCAATTTTAAGCTAAAACTTTGCCTTCTTACGTTGGGAAGGGCAAAAAGAAGGCATTTAGTTTTTTTAGCATTTAACACCATATTATTAATGTCAATTCTTCCCAGTCTGCATGTTTTTCCTTCTATGATTTATCTATTTAAAACATCTTACTACATTATACAGTATTATAGTATATAATAATCTTCCATCGACATAAGGTAAATGTTTAAAAAATCAATACTAATTCTTCGGTTAGAACTTATGTACCACTTGTTTCATTTGTATCAGATTTTTAAAATAAACATGAAAGTAATCATTATATAAAACACTTACTTGAGAGTGTTGATGAACAACATAATTTGATGTTTAATGCTCAACATAAGAGTTGGGTCCGTGATCAGTGAAGTGTTTGTTCTCAATGTTGAAGCCACTTTTGTAACAGACATACTCCACGTGTCCAGGAGCCAGTCCTTGGACACCAGCCCGGCGCCTGTGGTGAGCAGATGCTCCTCGAGGATGAAGAAGCCTAGGACCGCGCTTAGGTAGCTCTTCATGCCCTGAATTGAGTCATGCAAATTGCCAGTCTCCGGGATTAGGACGAGACGCGCTTGTTGTTTCCTCTGGGCTCTGCAATTGATTAAAAGGTTGTAATGATTTACTTAAACAACAAATTATTTAAATCATATGTATGTTTTACAAGATTTTTGTAACCATTTCTTAGCAGTTATAGCTGTGTCTTCTATTAAATTGGGAAGGTCATTTGTAACTGGTAGCAAAGATGCACCATATAGACATAAAAGCCAATAAAGAGATAATAAGAGTTATTAATATAATGTTGTTATCATCAATAATGTAAAAATAAACACTGACCACTTTAAAAGAAAAGACTTTTAGAATGACTGAAATTCATACTAATGTACACACCTGTAATACTGGATGAAATCATTCTTAGCACCAAGCACACTATGAATATGGAGACATCTGTGCAGAGGACTGAAGTCTACCAATTCATGAGGGCATTGTGGACCGATGTTCTCTTTGCCCAAGCCGCCCAACATGGATTCTGAAGAAGAAAAATATATTGTTCAACTAAACGTTAACAAGAAATCAGAATATTCTAAGTACTTACACATACTACATAACAGTGAGAAAACTAAAAAATATATATTATTGCGGAGGCAGCTGGTGTTGAGCCTGTGGTAGAGAAATCTCATGAATCTTTATAAATGTTAATTTTTTTTGTAGATAAGTGAACAAAAGATTTCGGCGCTGCGGGATTCAACGCTGCGTCTTCTATTTTCGCGCCCAGACGCTTTACCAACTAGGCTAATAAATATTTTTTTCCAAAATATTGGATATGATTGGTTTTGAATATGGTTTTATTTATGTATGAGACTGGCTAAACTTGACTGCTATCCCAATTGTTGAAATGGCAAAGTGATCATATGAGTCTTGCTTTTCCATTTTATTTTTTCTTTCATATTTTTGGAATCACAAAAAATGTATGCATTCTCAAGCCAAAACATACTTCTCTAAATTGACAGACATAGTTATAGTTTCATTTCCGTAACTTTTCCGCATTCCTATGCATAACTTATACATGCACAAAGAGTTCAAAAACATATATAACCTTTTTTATTTTTTACGATATTAGCGAGACTCCTCCCTAGCATGTCCTGTGTTTGTTTTAGAGCCATAGCACCAACCTGAAAAAGATTATTTGTCTTTTACTCTGTACCTCTACATATTTTGACTATTGAAAGTGATTTTGCAACATTAATTACTATTTGAATGAATAAATTCCAAACATATAACAATTAAATCATTTTTAAATGATTTCTGTTGCCATTCTCTTCATGCATTGACCAGCCTGACGGAAATTTCTGATGACGATCATGAAACAGAACTTATAGTGTTGTATTACTTTGATATGAAGTGAACTTAAAAATAAATATTTAAAGGATGGCAACACACTGTGAACACACAATGATCTTCTGCATCTGAATTTATCATTTTCACCAACTGCTGTTGTCCAAGTAATATCCTTTTAGCCACAAGTTTATCTGGAAGAGATCACTCTTTAGCAATAAGACTGCCTTATCATATCTACGTCATAAATTTTTCTTTTTGTAACATTTATTTTTATGTTTTTATGGTGGTCAATAAAGCATGTAAATACTGGACTCACCAGCAGAAGGGACACTTTCTTGTTTTCACCTTAAACAAACTAACCTGTGGACTCAGCTTGCGGATATTCTCCAAGAAATCCCTGAGGTCAGCCATAGAAGCATCCTGTATAGATTGCCGGAGTCGAGGGATATCGGACGATATCTTCGCACACCATTTGTAGGGTCCCACCCTAGGCAGCAAAACATGCTCCAACTGCTCCAAAGTTTTTAGTGCTGGGTAATATCTGTAATATTTGAAACATTAATGGAGAAAGATACTAGCTAGATATAAATGATTTAATAAGTAAGTTTTAATAGTAGTAATAATACACAATCTAGAAAATATATTTTTACCAACTTCATGGTTTCTTACCTAGTTATAACCCATGCATTTTAAATTTAATTGTAATTGAAATAGTAGAGATGTACCTTTTAGCATCTACTTGTGATTTCAATTTTGAGTATGTTGTCAAAAGCGGCAAACATAATTCCATCTTCTCAATTGTGGCTGCTATGTTCAATTCCACACGGCGAGCCCTGATTAATTCTTCTGCCCTTGAACAAAGACCTTTAAAAAAGAGATGAAGACATAACTAAAAACTTACAACAGTCAGATTTAAATACAAGCTTTGCTTGATCCAGTATTAATTATAAACATAGGAAAAGAGATTTAATAGCAAATTTTAGTTCTATTGTCATATTTATATGGTACTGAAAAATTGTGCTGTACCTTTGAGAAATGGGCCTCTCCACTAGGCACACTAAGTATTCACTAACAATATTAAAACATAAAAGAAAACCACAGTTAATATAAAATGAAACTTACTTTCAGAGGTCTCCTTCACATTAGAGTCAACATTAGATATCTCTGCATGTAATTCTTCGGCATGAGACCTTACTTGTAACAGCTCTCTAATTGAGTCTATGAAGCCCTACAAAACATGGTAAGAAGTTTATTAGTAATCTGCATTACAAAGTTGACAGGCTATAAGGGAACACATAAAACAAACCTATATAAATTTTTACTTACTTGATAATAGAAATTGCATAATTTCTCAATCTCCTTATCATGCTGCTTGATTCTCTCATCCAACTGCTGAACAAAAGCTTCATGTCCGCCCTCTCCTTCATACACTGATCTGAATGCTGGTCCCCAATAGTCGTCTATTCCTTCAATTTCCTGGTTTCCATATTCACAAATTTCCATATTCACATTTTATTGTACTTAGTCTTTAACTAAGGCTCTATTGAGACTTTTATTAAATTTCATAGATACATTTTTTTATATTATTTTAAAGGTACAATAAATGTGCAAAAATTAATACAGTTAATTGAACATATTTTGAAATGATTGTCACCATAGCGTGTTCTTTTCATTTTAATAAAGACTATCGCCGGGCTAAGCTGTTTTTTTATTAAATAAATACAGCTTTGCCTGGTGATATTGTCCATTTTTGTGGGTGTTTGGTCAAACAAAATACCTGAATGGTGGCGTTGGTCATGATAAAAGTTTTATTTTAGACAAAAGATATATATACTCGACTGCACAATTGTTTGTTTACATAAGGATAAAAAACTATCAATAGAAAATAGATTCCAATGACATAAGACAACAAAATAATGTCTTCAATTCTGCTCTGATGTGATCGCAATTCGCAATTCGCAAGTGTAACTGTCAGTCTGTCAGAGTCAGTGTCATAGTGACAATGTCACTCACTCAATTTTTAATAAAGATTTTATGGCCTAGTAACAAGACCTTTAAGCCAATCACTCAACGCAAAATGTAATGCCTAATAACTTTTTAATGTTAAAATTTTAAAATACGTACTTTATTAATTCTTAAACTAATACGCTAACATACTAATTAAATATTCATCCTCGTAAATAAACTAATCTAAGTATATATGTAACAGATATTGATATTTCTCATATCTCCCATGTCCTAGATCATTAGAAATTGAGAAAATAATAGAACATTGTAATACATTACAATATTGAAATTTAATGAGAATTTTGCTTATAAAAATGTGATATAAGTGCGGGTGACTTACAAAATCCCTTAAAAATAGGCAAAACAAATAAAACAGTAAATGTGAACAACTCTAAGAAGATTACCTAATTTTATGGTAATATATAAAATTTATTTTTAAATAATTTTACCTATCCGCGTTAGTCCTTTTATACAATTATAGTTTTTAAATATTGCATGGATTAATCTTTAAATAATTATTGAGGTTAAAATGTTTAAACTAATTTCTATTTATGAAAATAATATTAATGTAATAATATTAAATAAATATATTGCCCTAGTAAACTGGCAATAACGTTGTATTATTTTAATTTTTGAAAATTAAAGTGATATAATTTTCAAAAATAAAGAAAGAATACTTTTGTTTTTTTTATTTTCATAATTTCAATTTTAGAGGTTTTTTTATGGGGAAAAAAACAGCAAACTTGCAGGAGACTCACCTGATGGTAAGTGATCACCACCACCCATGAACAACTGAAACACCAAAGGGCTTACAAATGCGTAGTATGTATATAGAACATTTACAAATTTAAATGGTCTACAGAGCCTAAAGCTGTTAAATGTATTATTATTCAATAAATGTATTTATTTGAACATTATGAAACTTGATCAATATTAATTTGTATTAACGTTTTCAGGTATAAACAGACAGACTTGTAAATGCAATAACTTATTAATCGTTGAAATCATTGAACTGAAGAGTGAAGACACATGTAGCTTTAAAAATGTCGGCACTAGTGTTTCTTCGGTAAATAAAATCTCGTTGCTGGCAATACTAAGGCAAATGCCAATGCGCTAACCAATGGCATAGGGCAAAATTAATCTGCCAAGTGCCAAGCCAAATTACTCCGCTATATGGTAGCGGTGGATCGGAAAGTTATACAAGATTTAAATTATTGTGAATAATAAAATTGCTTTGCAGATAAAACGTCTTAAATCTTTATGTGATCGATGTTGCCTTAATTTATGTAATAAGATTTGTATATAACCCAAATTTATTAACATAGGAAAGTCCCGCAACCATGGCTCACTGTATGAGAGTTTTGCATGGCCAGGTAAGTCTTAATAATTCATATCGTCACGTGCAATCACGTAATTTGCACTGCTTAACGTAAATACTGCTTATTATTATCAGGAAATGTTTGTTTACGGCGTTATCGTTAATAATAAATTTTTGATTATGTAGTGAATGAACAGGTCAACTGGCGTATAATAAATTATTTGGGGTCAGTTAGGTCATCTGTTATGCCAATATAGGCCTATTTCGATATTTACTACGGATATGTAGCGAAACTTTTTTCTTGATGATCTATAATCAAAGATGGTCTTTGCAGGGTAGCAGGACCAGAGCCGTACTCTTGGAAATTCAACAAAGATGCTTCAGCGTGTCCCCTCTTACTGCTGCAGCAGCGCAGGTACTTTGTAGCAAGAAAACTGCGTTTTTTGCAGTGATTTCAATGATATTTAAATGTTGTTATGTAATCAATGAAAGTTGTAAAATTTGTTCTATATCATAATTTGGACAATATTAATAGAACCATGGTGTTTTTTAGGTTGCTATGTCGAAATTCGACAAAGCTCCACTGCCTTATGCCAAATTGACCCAGAACTTGGAGGTGGTTAAGAAGAGGTTAGGTCGTGATATGACCTTATCTGAGAAAGTGCTCTATTCACATTTGGATGACCCCAAAGGACAGGTCAGTCTTACTATCATTATAAATTGGTATACAGATTAAAGTATGCTTGTGATAAACTTTTAAATTTTCAACTTTGTTACATTTCGTCTTAAAACTTTTTTCTAATTTATAATGCAAGAACCCAATTCTGTTATATCTATGAAACACCTTTTCACATTCCTCTATGAATGACATTGATATTTTAACTATGGCAAGTTGTCAACACAGTACTTTTAAGGTAATTCTGTGAATTTAATTAGCATTGTAATTAACATGTATCTGTTAAACTTATGACTTGTTATAGTATCTACTGAAGTAATTGAATTTTGAATAAATGGCATAGTTCTTTAAATATGCCTCATTTAAATGATTTTTATATCAAATTAAATATGTCACTATGCATGTATTATATCTTGTAAAATTTCAGTTTTTATATTATATTAAATTAGTAAATACATCTTTAAGTAAGTAGTATAGGCACAATCTAAATACATGTACATTAAATGTTAAAATTATGGAAATAAATATGTATTTGATTTGTGTTTAGATGAAATAGTGTCCCTAAGGAACTGCAAATAAATATTGTCTCTCTATCGCTGTATATTTAGAATCCCACTAATAAATTAACTTCACTGAGAAAAAATTCTATTAAAGCTGTTATTTAGGTATTATTTATTATCACTTGTTTTATACTTTTATTAGTAATTCAATCATCTAATTGGTGATATAACCAAAATATGACACAAAAACCAACCAAAAAAAATTTTTTTGTTGAAATTTGATAATAGCTGGTTTAATATCTCTTTGGGTTTTTCGTCTTTATGAGGCTGAGATAGCAACTTAAAAGTTACAATCCGACTGTAAATTGGCTTCACATATGTATCTTATAAATTTTATTTCTATTATTTCGAAAAATGTGCAGGTTTCTTTACATTGCTTTCCTTTATCATTAGGCATGAATGAATTTCCACTGAAAATTACAATTCATTACAGTCAGCCTCTGTATTTGAACTCAAGTAACTCCGCTCACCATCATCATCAGAATGAAGATGTCCACGTTAAACAAAGGCATCTCCCACAGAGTGACACAAAAAAGGACACTTCCATTTGCATCCACAGGTTGCTTGTGAATATTGAATTAAAATTGATAGCACTTGGATACTGAGCTATCACAACTCTTATAATGGACAATTATCAATTTTAATACATTTATACTTAATACAGATTTTGAACAATCATTCAGTTATCAAATTTGTCAATTATATTTGTAAATAAACATGATGTGTCAAACTGAAATATACAAATATATGTTATCTTCTTAAACATAAATATTTAAAGAAACATTGTCACTCTTTAAGAATTCAATGACCATTCACAGAAATTGATGGTCAAATAATGCTTTATCTTTAAAAAACTTTTGATATCAAGTGCATGTAAGTAGGTCTCATTAATAACATGCAAATTAGAAGAGTTCTGTATAAATTTGTTTGAAATTATCTCCTTGTTTTGTTTGTACTCAATAAAAACATCTTTTTTATTTGTTATTGTTGTTTACATATGTAAGGTTAATTTTTGGAAAAAGCTGAGTATGTTATAATTAGGCATTTAATAAATGCAGTTATCACATGACAGTTAACCTCATATAGCTGAAATCTGAAGTCAGTGATGATGTGTAAAGATAATTAGATAGTTATATCATACATGTATGTTTTATATTCAACTTCTACCATAATTTAAAAATTAAACCAATGTTAATAAGTATAATAGCATTTTTAGGAAAATTTGGCAATATTTAAGTTAATATAAAAGCTGGCATTTTACTAAAATTCGCGCCCATCGCCCTTTTTTTTAAATGTATTGTCAGTATATTATAACACAGGCTATTAGAAAATTAAACCTACAAAACTATGGCCTGGATTGAATGAAGAAATTATGTTTTCATTTATCTGTACCTTTTTTTATTTATTAGAAAAGAGCTTTATCGCTGAGAGGTAACATCGCCCTGTAAGGTTAACAAAAAATAATATAATACATCAACAAAACTTTGCTTGACATCTATGACTAAGATTTATCTTAAACTAAGTTCTGCAATCTTGGCCACTATCCGAGCCTGATCTGTTATCGGAGAAGCCAGTTTTCTGTACCTATTACTAAATAGAGTTATTTTAAAATTTGTAGTACAAAGTGCGAAAAGTCACTTGCCGCCGTGGGAATTAAGCCCACGTCTATCGAACTCGCGCCCAGACGCTGACTGCTACAATTAAATCTCAACGTCTTTTATCAACATTGTAGGAGTAATTTTATTTTCCTTTACTGTCACTTAATTTCAACTCTAACTGTGGTAGGACCACGCAACAGCATTCGCTGTTGTACGTATGGGCATGTCCGTCCGGGTTAGTACCACGACCTCGCAGGAGACCGGCGTAAAGTAGAAGTGTTACACTTCTGCGTTTCGTCTGGTGAGTGAGGTAGCCGGTCATTATTAAAAGGTGGCAACATACTGCAACCGGTTTTGCAAATGTCCGTGGACGGCGGTCATCACTTAACATCGGGTGAACCACCAGCTCGTTTGGCACTTTTTCACATAAAAAACACTCTCATTGTGGGGAACATTCGCCGTTAGGAGATCGAGAGGGGCACCAGCTACCTTCGCCTGAGGCCCGACCGCGTCGCCATGCAGGACGCCACCGCCCAGATGGCGATGCTTCAGTTCATCTCGTCGGGGCTTCCCCGTGTCGCGGTACCCTCGACGATCCACTGCGACCATCTCATCGAGGCTCAAGTCGGCGGCGACAAGGATCTTGCCAGGGCCAAGGTGGGTCTTGTGTTTTTTTTTTAATTTCAACAAGTGATTATTGATAGATATTTGTAGAGAGTGCACCTCAGTAGCCTCTGCGAAATATCTGTGTACATTTTATACATACTAATGTGTCCATGACTAAGTCAGTCACTAAGTAGTCATACTCCATACATTTTAGATATTAGTCTTACTAATTAGTCTACTCTCTCATTATTTTTTTGTATTAGTCAAGTCTCTATATACTATATAATACTTAAAAAGGTGTTTTAGTGCACTTTATAAACAAGATTATATACATCATAGAAACACACCGGTTTGTATTACAAATATTTGTATTTCTTGTGACAGTGTAGAAACTGTGGTTCTTATGCGAAAGATGATACTTTAAAGACTGCGCCAATTGAGCCATAATTTTTTTATGTCAGCAATTTTCTATTCATATAGGTACTTAAGCATATCCACTAATTTACATCTTAATATAATTCATATGTGTAAAAATATTGTTGATATTCTTTGAGTGTTGAATTTTCTAATACATGTCTATAGGACTTCATTACTTGCCCACCTACAGTCAGATTGATTTTGTGTTCTGTGTACTATTCATTTTAATTATACAGCGTGTCGTTACAACCGCGACAATAAATGATCACACATATGGAGGATAACTTTTTAAAATTGTATTAAATATTTACATTATTTAAACATAAATATTTACCGAGTTATTAAAATTTCCAAAACAAACATTTTGAGAACACCCTTACGTATACAACTGTAACGTGAAGTTCATTTGTAAAGGTCACAAAGCATAAGAATGGGTTGAATGAATTTAAAAGAGACAAAACATACTGTTAGAAGGAGAGGCTTGTAATGCGGCGCTGTTGCAACGAATGAAAGTCTCTGAATGTATGAATCAATCAGTTTTAGTTGTTTAGGATGTTACAAATTTTGTTTCTGTTTTACTTAATTAATTTGTTTGAAAAATATTTTTTTTAAGTATGGATTATTTTTAACGTTAATATTTTTTATGATTATTGGCAAGTAACGTTAGACCTGTGTTCATTTACTGTCGCGGTGGTAAGGACACGCTGTATAAAGAGTAGCATAAATAAAAAAAAAACAATTATTTAGACAAAATGGACAAGGACTCAAAGTTGTTGCACGGAAGGTACACCAACTTTGATATTCCGTCCTAGCCAGAGATAATTTACTTAAAGAGCATGCTTTATAATAGGTACTAAAATGTTGTACAGTAACTATTAATATTAATATAACCATCCAATTAATATCTATTAACAATTATATATACACATATTTTTTTCCTACCAGGATCTGAACAAGGAAGTCTACAAGTTCTTGGAGACTGCCGGCGCCAAATACGGCGTGGGCTTCTGGAAACCTGGCTCCGGTATCATCCATCAGATCATCCTGGAGAACTACGCCTTCCCCGGACTGCTTATGATCGGCACAGACTCCCACACGCCCAACGGTGGTGGTCTTGGTGGTCTTTGCATTGGTACGAATACAACTAAAACACTTATCTTTTACCACTTTTACCACGACCTCACAGGAGACCGGCGTAAAGTGGAAGTATGACAAATACTTTCGCGTTTCGTCTGGTGAGTGAGGTGGCCGGAGCCCAATTTTCAAAAGGTTGTCAACGCATCTGTAACCCTCGAGTGTAGCAGATGTCCATGGGCGGCGGTATTCACTTAACATCAGGTGAACCGTCTGCTCGTTTGACAACTTTTCGCATAAAAAAAAAAAAAAAAAAAAAAAAAAACACTTATCCTTCAACCAAAAGACTTTTAAAGTCCTTTTTGATGCATCAGGAAATGTGAAGTTAATAGACACTCGCTGTTATTAATATATCGAGGTAATAATTTGAGAATATCCCTATTCTCAATTTTAATATTTACTTCAGTCTCTAGGTTTGAAGAGTTAAACACTGTGTTACTCTTTAGATCTGATATCATTACTCTGAGATCATAACTTTGTACTGAGATCTCTTTAGTTCTCGGTTCAAAGTTAATTATGGCCATTAAAGCTTTTTAGTTATGTGCACTAGTTTCGAAACAAACGCCTTACTCTCGATAAGCAACTGCATGTCAAACTATTGCCGAATGACCTCAAAACGTCAGAACTATAATCATGATGGAACTGTATAAATATAACACTTTATATTAAAAAGTCTATTACAAACAAAAGAAAACAGAACATGGAATAAGGTAATGCCGAGAACTGAAATTCCGATTTACGGCTTACTTAAGGAGATAGAGTTTTGAGGTAAGAATTATGGACCTATTGTCAAATAACTATCGCTAGTAACCAAATCTATCTGTAGATATAATATTTAAACCGGCCGTTAGTGGTTTGTCTTAGATGGGCTATATGTCCATCAGTGAACTAAGGTGTTAATGATGATAATTTTTTAATGTTATTGTATTATGTAATACTAAACATCTTTTTTTAACTTAGGCGTGGGTGGTGCTGACGCTGTGGACGTAATGGCTGACATCCCTTGGGAACTTAAATGCCCCAAGGTCATCGGTGTCAAACTCACCGGTAAGTTGATAAATTAATCATTAAATGCATTATAGGACGAAAGTAGCAGTTTTGAAGTAGCAGCTTGTATAAATAAATAATTTTTTTAGAACAAATTTTTACACAACATACATGGCCAGTGAGGTAGTAAATAGTAATGTCCCACGACGCGACCTCACTGCGGATTTGGCAGACTTCAAATATGTTTGAAATAAAATATTTATTTTGTTGTTATTTCGAAAATATGAAGGTTTACTAACAATGTTTTACTTAACTTACGAGCATGTATAATTCAGCAGATAGGTACATAATTGTTAAACAAACAGACAAACGTAATTGATCAATGAATATCAGAAATAGATTTAAAATACACATAAGAGTACCACTAGTAACAAACACAAATATAATGAGGTATTATCTTCGGCGCACGGGTTCGTGGGTTCGACCCCTACTCTGAACCAGTGCTTGTGTGACCCACTTTAAAAGATCCATACTTAAAAAAATATTTTTCAAACAAACTAATTAAGTAAAAAACAAACAAAATTTGTAACATCCTATACAACTACAACTGACTGATTCATACATTCCGAGACTTTTTCATTCGTTGCCACAGCGTCGCATTACAAGCCTCTCCTTCTAACAGTATGTTTTGTCTCGTTTAAATTCACTCATATGATTTGTGCCCTATACAAATGAACTTTACGTTACAGTTTTATACGTAAGGGTGTTCTAAAATTCTTAGTTCTGGAAAATTTATTAGTTAAATATTGATGTTTAAAGAATGTAAATCTTTAATACAATTTAAAAAAGTTATCCTCTATATGTGTGTTCATTTATTGTCGCGATTGTAAAGACACGCTATATATGTATAAACACCCAGACACTAGAAAAACGCTATATTCATCACACACTATTTTTCCAGTAGTGGGGTATGAACCCATATTTTGGAATATATGCAAGTTTCCTCCTGATGTTGTTTTTTACCGATGAGCATGACGTGATCAACAGTTTTAAAAAAAATATTTCGGATCTCAAACAGAACATTACATTTTAACGTTTTCCATAGAAATAAGTCTAAAAAAAATTATTACATAAGTGAATATTCCACTATTAGCGAAAACATCATATACGAGCACAGTTGCCAAGGTATTGGCTTCGGCGTCGGGGGTCGTCGGTTCGATTCCCACACGGGACAACTATTTGTATGACCCACAGGTAGTTGTTTGGCATTTGGGTGTTTGTCCACGTGAAATTTATGTTTGTAAAACGTCCCTACAACACAGGATAATGTTATCCTAAAGTAAGGGCAATGTTTTTTTTAAAAAACGAAAAAAAAAGTTAAATTTGCAATTTACGATATTATCGATGCAGGCGTCGCGATGAACTCGGGTTGCCGTAATAGTGCAGAAGATTCACTTAAAATCTAAGACCTTTAGGGTTTAGAATTATTGAATGAAAGTACCAGATAGGCTCGTACAAACCATCCAGGCCTTCCTGTCGAACCGCTCTTTTCGATATCGAGTTGAAAGCACCCTCTCCACAAGCCGCCGCCTCACGGCCGGCGTACCACAAGGCTCCTGCCTCTCACCTTTGCTCTTTACGCTCTACACGAGCGATATACCTAAAGACCCCCACTTTTCGCGGATGACACGGCGCTCTTTTATTCAGACCGCAACCTTAGACAACTAACCGCTCGACTCCAAAGCGCTGCCGACCGCCTCGGCGATTGGTTCCGCAAATAGAGAATAGAAATAAATCCCGAAAAGAGTGTGGCGATTCACTTCACACGAAGTACTTACCCGTAACATCTTTATAATGGCCCTCGTCAATGCAGAAAGTTGGGGCAAATATCCCTTTATGGCCAACCGCTCCCCTGGGAGAAAAAGGTCAAATACTTAGGAGTCACTTTCGACTCGCGTATGTCATTTACTACGCACATTAATAACGTTCGCAATAGAGCCGCGTTCGTCTCCGGCCGGCTACACAATTTAACTAACGCTAAAAGTAAAATGCCCTTAAGGCACAAATTATTATTATATAAGACCTGCGTACGACCTATTATGTCTTACGCATGAATGACATTCGCCCACACGCACCCTACTAGCTTGTACAAGTTGCAAATAGTACAAAATAAGTTCATCCGCCGCGCAACCGGTGCGCAGTGGTATCAACGCAACGTCGACCTGCACAGCGATTGCAGACTCCCGACGATTCGCGAATATTTTAAAGACCTGACCAAACGGTTCTTCGATAGAGCCGAACATCATCCCAACCCTCTGGTGGTAAGCGCAGCAAATTACCAACCCGACCAAAACGCGAACGTCAACAAGCGTCGCCCGCAAAACGTCCTAATCGACCCGGTCGAGGAAGGGGACTTAGACACGCCGGACCCACTGCCGGGGGTCCCGCCGGATAACACTACACCTACAATTAGTGCAACAACAAACACACTAGTTCGCCCTCGCCTCCGAGCACGGCGAGACCAACACAACGCGTACACAAAGTACACCCGCGTTCCGGGGCGGTTCTCACCGCCCCCAGCCACCGATTAGCTAATTGCACAGTCGACGGCCATCGGGGTTTCGGTCCGACCGCAACTTCGATGGCCCTTAGATGACATGTCGTAGTTAAACGCACGCATGAGCACATGCGCGGCCCTACCCACAGCGGAGGGCCCAAACCCGTGGGTTCTGGCTAGCCCACCGGTTCTGCGTCAGATGAAGCTTTAATAGTCTTGGGACTGAAAGCAAAAACATCAGTTAATACAAGATACAAGAGACAAGAATGAAAGTATTAAGATTTGATTTTATAGAATTTTCATGAGTAAAAAGCCTTGTAGATTAACTTGTTCCTACAGAATTTAACGGTATAATGTTAACACAGCTGTAGAGGAATACATTATAAACTTTATACTTTGACTGAATTATTTCGATACTGTGAATACTATGAAATTGAACCCACCTATTGATTGACCCTAACCATTCATCCACTGCGCTACCAAGCAATAAAAATACAATTTTTAGGGTTCCATACCCAAATTGTAGAATGGGACCCTATTACTAAGACTCCGCTTTCTGGTCTGTCTGTCCGTCCGTCTGTCACCATGAACCGTGATAGTTAGAAATTTTCACAGATGATGTATTTCTGTCGCCGTTCCCATACAACAGATGATTTTTCCCCGTTTTTATAGATAATGGTACGGAGCCCTGAACGGAAATCCGACTTGTACTTGGCCGGTTTTTAGTTTGCCTGTTGTAACTTTTTAGATTCTATGAAAAGCTTGTCATTTTGATGTAGATAACATTATTCCATCATTACACGAAATTGCTAACTACGTCAATAATTCGTTACGTAAACGATTTCATTGTTCTATACATACACAGTTTTCATATAAGATATCGTATTGCATAACAAAGTATAATCACAAAAGAAAGAAAAAATATTGACAAAATAATAAATAGCACCTGCTATAATTAAAACTATGAAGTAGTATGAATGACAATTCAATGATAAAGTACGTTTACATAGCGATAAATACAAAATGGCGCCCAAAGAATGTTCGCGCCTATTTTTAGACGCGACAAAAGTGGCCGAAATTGAGGCGTAGTTCGAATTCGAACGAATCTGTACAATCGAGAACTTAAGTCGAACTCGTGTTTATTGCAATTGCGTGTTCAATTACACGCTTTATTTTTTACGTAACACGGTGATATGTGATAAATTAAGATGCCTATCTCCGTTGTTTGTATTGCGTGTCGCGTATAAATAAATCTTTCGCATGGCCCCGCGCCAATATTGGGCAACTTTTCGCTTTGGGTATTCGACACCTGCGCGCCATCTTGAATCAATTTTCTATTGTTTTCTTCATTATCCATATAAACAAAATGATAGAGGTCCACCGTTCACGAATCACGGGAAAAATACTGAATAGATATAATTTAATTTTTCAAGTTTTGTCTTATAGACATATATCCCTTATCTGTAAAACAAAATATTTTGATATCTTTATTTAATGAAAAGTTTTAAGAAACTAAGATTTTACAAGCTCTACGTGTTCAGTGATTGTCTGTTTTCTTGTCGTGCTAAATTAAATTCATTGTTAGGATAATTAGCTACGCAGACGAAGCCGTGAGTATACACTGGCATCCCATAACTACTTATAATCCGTCACGTTTTGTTGTCACGTGAATAAATTTGGGAAAAAAACAGTTTTGGCCGGATAAAAAATATACTAAGTTTTATTTAACAAAACGAATTTAGGTGTTTATTCGCGTTTAATTTCGTCCCTCGATATAGATTATGATATCTAATTATAATGTATAACTGGGACGATATAAAAGCTATCTCCGTTTTGAATTTCTTTCTAATCCATTTAGCTTTTGCGGTGCTAAGAGGATGGGAACACACAAAGTCTCGTTTATATTATGCGTTGTATTTTGTTTTATATTTAATAAGACATGTACCTTTAGAGTAGTACCTATACGTTTTTTACATAAATAACTAAGCCCTGAGGATGTATACAGAATGTCAATTCAAATCGCAAGTATAGCGTCCCAGTCTGTGATGGAGTCAAGAGCATATTTAATTATTGTAAGTAGTGTATTCTGTTCTTTAATATACATATTTACACACCTATATGATAACACACCCACAACTGAGTAAATAATGCACTTGCATGCCCTTCGATAACGTTTGGGGAATTATTGCTTGAGGAATCTACTATATATTTACATCAGATTTCCTCATAATAAAAAATATAAAATTTAAATTTAAAGTTTCAACTTCTACGCCCAAAATCAGAACCGAACAGTCACAACTCATTCAATTGATATTTTGAAAGGCTTCAATCATTATGCTTTTTGTATACCAGATTTAACTTATCATATATCTTTACAAATACATAGCGCGTGTACAAAAAAATCATCTAGATTAAACCATATAACTAGCGATCGACTGGATTCATTTAATATTAACCTGTTTTACCAAACAAATCGATAATGTATTCGATTCAGAAAGCTTTTTAAATTCCCTAATAACGATTTTAAATTCCCTAATACCGTCTACCTCCATGGTCGGCAGATATACCTATTAACGATCTGGTGTTTAGTTACTACGTCAAGAAACCTCAAATATCGTAACTCAAAGAAAACTGTGATCGATTCAACGCCTTAATTCGCTGTATACTAAGATCATTTTCGTTTCCGAAAGGCGCTCACCTGTGTTCAGAAAGCTCTTTAAATTTCCCGCGCTTCTAGAGTTCCCTAGCGTCTACCTCCATGGTAGGCAGCGATCGTTCTTCATACACCGATTAACGATCCGGTATTTAGTTACTACGACATGAAACCTAAAATGTCGTAACTCAAAAAAAACTGTGATCGATTCAACGCCTTAATTTACTGTACACTAAGATCGTTTTCGTTTGCGACGGAACGCTCGCTTGTGTCCTAATTTGCATACAGCCATTTACTGCGCAGCGGACCAATTTGCGACGAGACCGAACTCTCCTCGGCTCCCACATGCCCGCCCGTGCATTATGATATAAATGATACAAGATAACGGCCCATGAACTTTAGACATCCGACTATCAAGTACGACTGTACTGATGAAACACATGAAACACTAGACGGTACTAACGATTTCCTACACGACAGATTAAATTCCCAGTGCCATTATGTGCAGTAAAGACGTCGTAGCTTTATGATGCGGTATGAATAAATTTTAGTAACTAATCAAAAATAAAACAAACCTACTGCAAATTTTTTAAACATAAATTTTGTCTTAAGATCCCTTTATTTTATTTCTTTTCATAATTTCCATATGCCCTGTGACACTCGCGAAATAAATACTTATCTAACAACGTATCATTTTAGGCCAAAATCGTTTCAGGCGTTTAGAACTTACTAGGACACATAGGAACGGACATCCATTGTGGTAGCGCCACTCAACAGTTTTCACTGTTGCACGAATGGGCAGATCCGTCCAGGTAATTACCACGACTTCACAGAAGACCGGCGTAAAGTACAAGTGTAATACTTCTACGTTTCATCTAAGGTAGCCGGGGCCCACTTGAAAGGTGGCAATGCATTTGCAAATGCGGGTGGTGCAAATGACCATGGGCGGTGGTTATTACTTAACATCAGATGAATCGCCAGTTCGTTTTTTTCTTTTAATGTGGAAAGTTGCCAAACGAGCAGACGGTTCACCTGATGGTAAGTGAATACCGCTGCCCATGGATATCTGCTACCCCGATGGTTGCAGATGCGTTGACAACCTTTTGAAAATTGGGCTCCGGCTACCTCCCTCACCAGACGAAACGCGAATTAGTATTTGTCATACTTCCACTTTATGCTGGTTTTCTTGAGGTCGTGGTACTTACTCGGACGGGCCTGCCCATTCGTGCAACAGCCGAGGCTGCTGCGTGGCCCTACCACCGTAAAAGTTTGCCACTTTTTCACATAAAATAAAAGTAAAACGTGCTATTGAAGGCTGGTACAATACACCACCCCACAAGTTTTGGATCGTGTGGCGCGTTGGTACTTAATTTTTACCATGGTGGAAAATAGGTCTCTTTAAATTATCTTTTGAGCTAATACGTTTAGAAAACGCGTTATACTTTTGACATGAACTACCTGTTGCAAATAGATATTGAACTATATTTGAACTACTAGATGATATTTTTAAAGAACTTTTATTGTGTTTTCTCCTTAAAGTTTTAATCTGTGTTGTAAAACTCGGGAGCAAACAGCGATGGTTTCTCGTTTGTTTAACTTGTTTAAGATTTATTATGCAACTGATTTAGGCTTACCGAACGTAAATACGTTTTATTAACTCCCGAAATATGCACACGGGAAAAGGTTAAGGAAAGCTGTAGAGCTGTCATGATGCGAAATATTTCTTTATAGAGGGCTCGCGAATTGACGAAATATAATTAAGAATATTTTAACATTAATTCGCTTGCCATATTAAAATAGATATACTGTTTTTTTTTGGGATTTTTAGCAAGGTAGCATTTGATTACATAATTTTTATAAAGATTTCTTGTATCGAATACTGTCTGTGATCAAGACTAAAGACTGATGAAATAATGACGGGACAAACAGTATTCGATACAAGATATCAAGTTAAGAACTCCGCCATTTATGAACCGATTTTGAACTAGTTTGGGTTTATCTCCCATATGGTCCCATATTGACATCATTAGTGTTGAACCTTCAACTTCAGAGGTGCATCGTGGTGTTCCTCAAAATCAAATAGAAAATGTTTTTGCGAGTAAGATGTTTAAAGTTAGTTTTGGTGTGTGTAAAAATCTTACACACTAATACTCATGCCAGCCGCCTCAAATCACAACAAGGCGGTATCAGTCTAATTACTAATTAATTGTTCAGACTTACTATCGTCGCGTTCAGCGTCGTTAAATTATCAGATAATTTCCCGACTGGAGATTTGATAATAATATCCTATGCTATATGTACTGCATGTTTACTCTGATTCACGTCACACCTTGTCGACTCTAAATTAATACCATCTGTATTGATTTAATAGAAAAATACGCAATATATTTTATTGTTACCACCAAACTTCAACGAAGCTTCATACCTTAGGCTAAAATGCATAAGTAAATGTTCATGCATGACGCAGTTTTATGGTAGCAAACGTTAACGTAACATTCTTGACGTGGTTTTGATACACGAAGATTGCATCTTACAAAATATTTAAATATTCAGGTGGTAGGAGCAACTCCTTCCAAGTGAATAAAATTGTTTTTGTGTACTATAATTTTTCATCAATTTATTACAGTGTGCAAACCCGAAATACGAAGCTAACTATACTGTATATGTACCAGAGACAGTTTTGTTGCAAGCATGAAAAACAAGTTGTAAACTCGCGTGAAATGCGCACACATAAATAAAAGATTATTATGTATATATTTAAACCCTACCTCAATTTATATACATTACTTAATACTTTATACAGATATGACCCACGAACAGCTGTCCAGGGTTTTGATGCCCTTTGCTTCTATATCTGCGGTTTCATGAACGTAATAGTCATAATCTTGGACCATTATTCATGGTACATCCCCCTGCGCGGGAGTATGTTTTTAAGTCTATCAACGGCTTCATCGTTCCGCAGGCAAGCTGAAGGGCTGGACCAGCCCCAAGGACGTGATCCTGAAGGTTGCCGGCATCCTCACCGTGAAGGGAGGCACCGGCGCCATAGTTGAATACCACGGCCCTGGCGTAGACTCCATCTCCTGCACGGGAATGGCCACCATCTGCAACATGGGAGCGGAGATCGGCGCAACCACCAGCGTTAGTTCTCTTAAACTTTACTAGTGACTCGCCCCGGCTTCGCACGGATGCAATGTATTATTCATATAAACCTTCCTCTTGAATCACCTCTATCTAGTAAAAAAACCGCATCAAGTTCGGATGCGTAGTTTTAAAGATCTAAGCATACATAGGGACAGACAGACAGCGGAACGACTTTGTTTTTTACTATGTAGTTAGAAGTGAGAAGCATCAGGATGCCTACCTCCACTGTGGTAGGGCCACGCAACGGCTTCTGCTGTTGCACTGATGGGCAGGCCCGTCCGGGGAAGTACCACGGCCTCATGGAAGACCGGCGTGTAGTGGAAGTGTCATACTTCTGCGTTTCGTCTGGTGAGTGAGGTAGCCGGGGCCCACTTTATTAAAAGGTGGCAACGCATCTGCAACCCGCCAGCTGTTGTGCACAAGGCGACCGTAATCACTTAACATCAAGCGAACCTTCTCGCTAGCAAACTTTTTACTTAAAAACCCACTCTCTCATATTAATATTGTCTGACTATTGTGAGGAATTATTTTCTTTGCCGACTGTACTTTAAATGATGACCTCCAGGTGTTCCCGTACAACTCGCGCATGGAGGCGTACCTGAAGTCGACCGGCCGCCACGACATCGCAGCAACCGCTAACTCCTACAAGCACCTTCTCACACCGGACTCCAAAGCGCCATACGACCAGGTATCTTTCTCCTATTCTCAGCCGTTACTGCCTGATGTCTAGAATTTGCCTTTCGCAAATAAACGTAAGAGAAATTTGATTTACTTCTTACCGCGAGCTATGCGAATAGGGAGGCATCGTTTTGTTAGGCTGCATCGCCACTTACCATCAGGTGGGATGGCAGTCAAGTGCTGGCCAGTTCTAAATAAAAAAAAATTGAAGCGTTCGTATAAACACAACACAGATATCGATCTAACCTGTTACGTATATAATTTTGACCCGTTTCATTAAAAAAAAAGTTGATGTAAACCCGTCCCTCCTCCCGCAGCTGATCGAGATCGACCTGTCGACCCTGGAGCCGCACGTGAACGGCCCCTTCACGCCCGACCTGGCCAACCCCATCTCGAAGCTCGGCGAGGCGGCCAAGAAGAACGACTGGCCGGTGGACATCCGCGTGGGCCTCATCGGCTCCTGCACCAACTCCTCGTACGAGGACATGGGCCGCTGCGCCAGCATCGTCAAAGAGGTCCGTCTCCGCACTTCGGCATGCACAACTTGTCGTACCACGTGACAGTCTCGCTTCAGAGCCCAAGGAAGACCGGCGTGAAGTGTTACACTTGTTATAACTGGAATCCGATTTTGTAAAAAGATGGCAACGCATCTGCAACCCCACGGGTGTTGCCATTCCTTGGGCGGCGGTTATCGCTTAACATCGGGTAAACTAAACTGCCAGCTCGATTGCTACCTTTTCATATAAAAAAATTGATAATCAGAGTATGCAGTCATTTCTCCGCATATCGGTACATTATACATAAAATATGCACAATATGAAAATATCATAAAAATAAATCAAATCGATATTTAGCACTTTAGTGTGTACACTTATCAGTGATTATGTAATTTAACTTATCAGTAATTATGTATTTAAAATGACCTTATTGCCTTGACACTGTAACCATGGCTTAACTTTTAACAAAGACAATATCTTTGTTTCTCACCTTGCTTTGTTAATTTTGTTTAATGAAATTATAGAAAAATATATCAAACAGCATCTGTTTCTTCTCCATTAAAGTTGAAATTGTGAAACCGGTAGCAGACACCTGCACAAAATCTGTCATTCAAGTTCACAAAATCAAGTTTGAAACAAAATCGAAGTACTAAAATTGGATAAGGAAATTATTCTGATAAAATTTAAGGATCATAAGATAAATTATTAAACATTAATGAGGAAGTGTCTTGATTGAACTTCTATTAGTTCCACTACTTCTACATATTCGTACAGTCAATAGATAGGAAGATTCTGTGATGAACAATAATCATGAAATGCCAAACTGTATCTTGCAGTATCTGATGAAGTATTGGAATCGCTGTATCGTGAAATGTCCTATATCTTAATAATTTCTTGTATTTACGCGATTACACATTATAAATTAAACTAATTTTACGGATTTATCGCGTTTATTTTTAATTTTAATTTTAATTTAAGTCTGTCCCGTGACCATGAACGCTGTAAAGGGTTCGAAACGTCGGGAATTAAAATTAAAAATAAACGCGATAAATCCGTAATTAGTTTCATTTATGTCCTATATCTTGTTGTATCGTATATACTTGGTGCTCATCGTTTGACTACCTCAGGCGCTGGGCCACGGTCTGAAGTCGAAGATCCCGTTCAACGTGACCCCAGGGTCGGAGCAGGTCCGCGCCACCATCGAGCGTGACGGCATCGCGCAGACCCTCAGGGACTTCGGCGGCACGGTGAGTTGATAAAGACCATCTTTTTAGGGTTCCGTACCCAATTGGTGAAACGGGATCCTGTTACTAAGACTCCACTCCGTATGTCACCAGACTGTATCTCATGAACCGTGATAGTTAGTTGAAATTTTCACAGATGATGTATTTCTATATAAAATATATCGATCGATATTATAAACACAGTTTATAATTCAGAAGAATAATATTTTAATTATTAAGAATAATAATATAATCCTTTACATTTGAATTATAGATTTCATTCATAATTCCAATGATTTTAGTTTAGCCCAACAGTGGGACATATATAGGCTGACGCTAGTTTATTTTTTACAAAACAAACGCTCTATCTACTCAATCCCTTTGGGAGTATTTACTCCCAAAGGGGCACAATCTCAACTGGTTCGGAAACCGTTGCCATTTTATGCACGCGCTGAAACTAAACGGCAGGTGCTGGCCAACGCGTGCGGGCCGTGCATCGGCCAGTGGGACCGACGCGACGTGAAGAAGGGCGAGAAGAACACGATCGTCACCTCGTACAACCGCAACTTCACGGGCCGCAACGACGCGAACCCCGCCACCCACTGCTTCGTCACCAGCCCCGAGCTGGTCACCGCGCTCTCCATCGCCGGTGAGCAACTCCCGACCACCTACTCGCCCTCTACTGACCCCAGTGCCCCCTAATCAGCCCCCGATATCCCTTTACTCAGCCCAGCGCCCCCTAATCAGCCCCCCATAACCCGTTTCTCACCTCAGCACCCCCTAAACAGCCATCCAATAACCGCTTATTCACACCAGCGCCCCCTAATCAGCCCCGCAATACCCCTACTCACCCCAGCATCCACTATCAGCCACCGATAGCCCCTTACTAACCCCAGCGCTCCCTAATCAGCCCTCCAATAACCGCTGACTCACACCAACATACCATAATCATCCTCTGGGGATAGCCCCCTACTCACCCCAGTGCCCCTTAATCAGCCCCCATTCCAAAAGGAATACCCCCAAAAACCCCGTACATCAACATCTCCTGATCAGCCAAGGTCAAATCTTTAAAAAAACCCGTACTTAATAAATATGGAGGACATAAAATTAGTAAATATACAATCATATTATATACACCCAATTGGATACAATTGAAACCGTGATCTATCGAAGAAGTTAATATGGTAAATTTCTGCTCGCAGGCCGGCTGGACTTCAACCCGCTGTCCGACGAGCTGACCGGCACGGACGGCAAGAAGTTCCGCCTCTCCGACCCCTTCGCCGACGAGCTGCCCGCCAAGGGCTTCGACCCCGGCCAGGACACGTACCAGCACCCGCCCGCCGATGGCACCAGTCAGTACAAACATATTCTATTTGCGTTTTGTTTGGAAGGCGCTTGGATTGTAAGTCGCAACGACTAACATCCAACACGGAGTCATCAAGTGAGTCCCAACGTAGCACTTTGGTTGCTAAGGATGCTCGTACAGCCCTGCTAGCCCGCATTTCGTTCACTACCGTCAAATGCGACTGTTTTAATATAGAGTTCTGTTATGATTTTACGAAAACTTTATATAACAAACGACATCTTGCTGATTCAGCGGTTGATAACAGGATAACTTTTAATTTATTCATACACCATCATGCTGGGCACTACATCTAAATTGGTTCTTTCCTCGTTCTCGGTACCATGCTGCGTGCACTATCTTTATTACATAATACGCAGTTTAGATATATTGATTGTTGTAAATATTGAATATATTATGAAAAAAAATCCATAATCTTACATAACAGTATTGTCGAAGCCTTGACTCATTTCACAATAATTGTTTTTGATGGGATAGATTTATACAAAAACCGATTCAGATTGAGAGGCCACCCGTTGCAGAGGTGCAGGTGGACGTGTCGCCCAGCTCTGACCGGCTGCAGCTGCTGTCGCCGTTCGACAAGTGGGACGGCAAGGACCTGACCGAGATGACGATCCTCATCAAGGTGAAGGGCAAGTGCACCACCGACCACATCTCGGCGGCCGGCCCCTGGCTCAAGTACCGCGGCCACCTCGACAACATCTCCAACAACATGTTCATCACGTTAGTACACACGCCTTCTAGCAGCTATTTCACTCGCACACAGCCTCTTCTCTCCTGTTTCCTAGTAACTAATACCGTCCACCCCTCAACCAACATATTCCATTCCTCTAACTCGCTCCTGCCTTCCAGTCCCTTTTTTACATTTCCGTCTATTTCCCTTTCCCTTTTACTCGCTTCTGCCTTCCAATCTCCTTTCCTTGTCCTGTCTTCTATCAAAGTCAATTGTTACTCTAAAGATGAGAGACATTAGTTAATAAAGGCCAGTGTGCTATTTACGTAGAGTTAAGCGTATAAAATGGCAAGGTATGTCACAAATCTTGTTTATATCGATAATTTCAGCCAATATATATATATATATATTTTTCTTTTTTTATAAAACATTACCCTTACTTTAGGATAACATTATCCTGTGTTGTAAGGACATTTTACAAACATAAATTTCACGCGGACAAACACCCAGGTGCGAAACAACTATCTGTGGGCCACACAAATAGTTGTCCCGTGTGGGAATCGAACCCACGACCCCCGACGCCGAAGCCAATACCTTGGCAACTGCGCCACGAAGTCATCTGGAATATAGATATTTGGAACCGATCTATCGACACAAAATATTCAATAACGAAAATCGTATAAAAAACGATATTTTTTCAAATTCGAATCCGCCACAGAGTCCCTAGGTGTCAAATATTTAATCTTCTGTTTTGGACAAAGGGGTTTTTCTAGAACCTAAATCCGATATATCGATATTTTCCCTTCGATATATCAAGGCCGATATTAATGGCCATCCCCACGAGTGACGTCAGCGCCCCGCGCTCTCGGAGGCGTGACGTCACGGCGTGCGTTCCACCCCGCGCAGGGCGACGAACGCGGAGAACGGCGAGCTGAACAAGGTGCGCAACCAGCTGACCGGCGAGTGGGGCCCGGTGCCCGGCACGGCGCGCGCGTACAAGGCGGCCGGCGCCCGCTGGTGCGTCGTCGGCGACGAGAACTACGGCGAGGGCTCCTCGCGCGAGCACGCCGCCCTCGAGCCGCGCCACCTCGGCGGCAGGGCGATCATCGTCAAGAGCTTCGCCAGGTCGGTGACCCCCCACCCCCCTCTCGAGGTGTCATTACCCTGTTGCGTCATATTAAGAGGGCGATCATCGTCAAGAGCTTCGCCAGGTCGGTGACCCCCCACCCCCCTCTCGGGGGGTCATTACCCTGTTGCGTCATATTAAGAGGGCGATCATCGTCAAGAGCTTCGCCAGGTCGGTGACCCCCCACCCCCCTCTCGAGGTGTCATTACCCTGTTGCGTCATATTAAGAGGGCCCCAAGAGCTTCGCCAGGTCGGTGACCCCCCACCCCCCTCTCGAGGTGTCATTACCCTGTTGCGTCATATTAAGAGGGCGATCATCGTCAAGAGCTTCGCCAGGTCGGTGACCCCCCACCCCCCTCTCGAGGTGTCATTACCCTGTTGCGTCATATTAAGAGGGCGATCATCGACAAGAGCTTCGCCAGGTCAGTGACCCCCACGCTCTCGAGGTGTCATTACCCTGTTGCGTCATATTAAGAGGGCGATCATCGACAAGAGCTTCGCCAGGTCAGTGACCCCTTCCCCCATCTCCAGGAGTCATTCCCGTGTTGCGTCATATTAAGAGGGCGATTATCGTCAAGAGCTTCGCCAGGTCAGTGAACCTCACCCCCACCCTCCTCTCGAGGTGTCATTACCCTGTTGCGTCATTTTAAAAGGGCGATCATCGTCAAGAGCTTCGCCAGGTCAGTGACCCCCCACCCCTCTTCAGGTATCATTACCCTGTTGCGTCATTTTAACAGGTTCAGATAGTAATACAGTTTGACGTCATCTCGGCAACTATTTGTTCTCTACCAATCTGAGTTTGTAAAAAGTCCAAATAAAAGCATCAATGAAATTGTAAGCCTGCCAATCCGTATACAGAATAATGCTTTTTCCACCTGTAGGATGTATAGCTGTTACTTAATATATCTTACACTCTAATTATTTACGTGCAGGATCCACGAGACAAATCTCAAGAAACAAGGCCTGCTGCCACTCACCTTCGCCAATCCCGCTGACTACGACAAGATCCAGCCCAGCGACAAAATCTCCCTGCTCGGACTCAAGGACCTCGCTCCCGGCAAAGTAAATCGCTATTATTAATACAAATTTCCTATTCAACTGAAATCAGGTCGCAATTCGGCACAATTATATGTATGAACCACAGAAACATATGCAAATTTAATACTTCAATGTTTCTAGATGAAAAGTTAATAAACTATTAGAGACATTATTAGACATTTGAATCTGATTGGCCTAACGTGTCCGAATTTCAATTTTATTGGAGGTCGATTGCACAGATGAATAACGACACTTCTACATCGCCACCCTGAATCGAATCAGCGAACTATGATCGCGAACAAGTATAATAGAATTCTCTGATAGTTATCGTTATCAAAATAGGAAAAGCAGAGAGTAAATTAACTCGAAATAAGAGATAGTTTTTTTTTCTTACATTGTATAGGTGTGAATTTATTTATTTGTACATACCAAAACGTTGTTTCCAACAGCCCGTCGACTGCGAGATCAAGCACAAAGACGGCAGCGTCGACCGCATCAAGTTGAACCACTCTCTGAACGAGCAGCAAATCTCTTGGTTCCGCGCCGGCTCCGCCCTCAACAGGATGAAGGAGATTGCCGCGGGCAAGTGAACAGCCGCGCACTAGCCCAATCCCCTTGCACTGGATTTACCCGAAAATTAGGGTAATTTTTACCGTAGCAACCCCTGAGCCATAGACAATAGTAAGAAGATTCGTATTGTTAAGAGCACGCTGATATTTCGAGCTACGTTAAGTAAATGAAACTGTAGCTAGAGCGTAGGGAATAGGAGACCAGTGCAAGTTGTTACCAACTTAGTTAAGATTTCGTTGTAAGAGCATTTCATCTATCGATATTCGGACAATACTAGTTGCGGCGGCGTTGAATCTTATTATTGTAGTACAAAGAGGATACTTAGATGAAATTAGTCTTATAAGTTTGAGAAAAATTACCCCCTTTTCGTCAGTTTATAATGTTGTACATCGATATTGTAAGATTTATCTTTTTTTTTAATTATTATTTATGTAAATAGCAATATTTACCAAACTATAATAAATTTATCAAATCAATGTGGTTTTCTTTACAATAACCCTTTTTTTCCTCATAATCTAGTGGTTTTCATTGATTATAACTTATATAATATTTAATTATTAACATTTCTCTATAGATTAAAAATTTTTTCTAGCTTGAAAAACGAGACGTACTATTCGGAATTTTAGCCGAAGTTATACTTCTTTGGGTGGTGTGCGCGCGTATTGTAAAAATTTACTCTCAAAATTTTTCCATAACGCGCCAAAAGAAGTATAACTTCATAAAATCATTAAATGAAATTGATGACTCGGTGGCACTCGGTTGTAGGCTATTGAATTTGGCGCAGAGGATCGTGTGTTATAGGTTATCTACCCTGGGAAAAACAAGCAGCCTGTACATATAAAGGTCAAAAGTAAAACAGGCTTGTAAACAGGACTAAATTAGTAAGTACTCTGAAATCACCAAATATCCATTTTAATATGAATCCCCTTTTATAAATTCTGATAAAAGCAATCGGAAAAGTTTAAAAAATTACACTCGATCCATTTTGAACAGTCTATACTTTTAGTAAAAATTAAACTCAGTGGCACTGTTGTTAAGTTATTGGCTACGGCGTCGGAGGTTTGATTCCCACACGGGTCTAGTATTTGTGTGACAACGATAATTGTTGCGGGTCTAGATGTTTGATTCCCAAAGAGGGTTAACGTCAGGCAGCTGGCTACATGTCGTAAAAATCATAGCCAAAATTTAGATTTAGAACATTATTCACATGTGCTGAGCTTGGATAAGGGCAAAGATGATGTGTCTTATTTGCCTCCGAAAATAGTAATTGTCACAACAAAAGTAACTGCTATAACAACAAACGTAAAACTGTTGGCAAACTAATTAGTAGAACATATCTTATTTCTTCAGTATTTTAAATTGTTTTATTTTATTGTATAAGTCTGATGGACTGACTAGATTTTAAAATACTAATTAATTTACACATAACTTTGTATTGTAAATTTGAAAAGTTTCACGACTATTAAAAATGAAAAGTAAAAGAGAAATAAAGCAACAATTAGTGTAAAACTATTTTATTAGCGCAACAGTTTAATCTTCATTGTCTTCATTATCGCTGTCAGCATTGATGTTGAAGTAACGTAGTTCATATGCATCATGTGCAGAAGCAACAACACGGAGCCAATCTCTCAGGTTGTTCTTCTTGAGGTACCGCTTGGTCAAGTATTTTAGGTACCTCTTGGAGAAAGGAATGTCTAAAAACATTGAGTAATAGGACAATAGAAATCAAGAAATATTTTCTTGTTTTGATGTAACATCAAACTACAGTGGACTAAGCAAAGTTTTCCTAGTCATTATTTTGACAACCATAGTCAAAGCTCCTTAAATTCCCGTGTTACTGCAAACACTAGAAATTTATTTAAATGAACAGTTTGAGCTCATTATTCGAATATATCGAAACATATAATAAGCTGAAAGGGAGTTGCTTGTGTGACTAGATATTGCAATTATATTTATTAAAGATTAGGTATCATTTACAGTTTGTCACAACATTAAGATTTGATACTTATAAAACTGCAATATGGGTTTAACATAAATGTAAATGTCGAAAAAATGCAAACTCACTTATGTCTTGACTTTATGGCATATTTATACAGAGTCGAACCTGGATAAGTGAATTTAAGGGATCTCAAATAGTTTTTTGCTTGTGGATTTTTTAGGGATTATGGAGGTTTCTCACCAGCCCAAGTTACTGGCTTATACATGTACAGAAATGGACATTATCACTCATAGAATTAAATAAATGATACAGTAAATAGGCAGTAAAAAATTTATGTATGTGAAATAAATTCTACTATGTACAAATTTTTTTTCTAATTTTAGTTGATGTTTGATCCATTTTAAAAGGCAGTCTCCAATATCAAGAAAATCCGAATGAAGACTTCTCTTACTATGTCCATATCCCTCATAGCACTGATACTTTAGTCTTTTGACTGAATATTATAAGAGGTGGATTTTGGTGAACCAAACTAATTTTAAGTTTTTACTTATAGATAACATTTTGATTTTTCTTTCTTCACTCTTGATGATTTCAGTAAGATTGACTAATAATGATAGGGCCAAATGTGCATAAAAACAGTATAATGGTATGTTTTAAAGAAATTTTAGAAAACAAACAGTACAGCTGCTATTCAGAACTTATTGTTATGTACATAAAGATTTTTACTGTGTCATAAAAAATACCAGTAATAGAGAGGTCCATGCACGAATATCTGAGGGCCCAAGACTCTCTCTAGAGGCTTGAAATTCTCAAACAGATGTTTTAGAGGCTAAAATAATAAATTTCCTCTTACTCAGGTTTGAGTTATACAGAAATATCGACGATTACGTACATATTCTTTGCATCTGTATTACTGATAAATAATAGGCGCATGCAGATCTTTGTAACAAATGCTGGTGTTGAGATGTGATAAATTTAAAAAAGCAGATTGAAGTCTAAAAACTTTAAGTGTAACTAATAAACTAACCTGCATTGATGGCTACTTTTGTCTTGTCTCTAGCGACGACAACGTGATTTCCTAGGTTATTTGTTTTACCCTCAACTTTAACATGCTCCTTGAGGTACTTTTCAAAGTTTCCAACATCCAAGATGCTATCTTCAGCTGGATGTGTGCAGTCGATAGTAAACTTCAGGTTGATTTTCCTTTTCATTCCCTTGCCGCGGATTTTACCACCTTTGATACCTTTCTTTCCAGCCTTTTGATGCAATTGGGCTTTTTTAGGAGCGGGTTTCTTTGTAACCGCCATTTTAACGCCCTGTAACGTAAAAACTTTATTTGCAACATTGTTTTTGAGATAAATTGAAATAATCTTGATTTTTAAAAATAATATTGTTAATAACCTACAGAACACGTGTAACAGTGCTCGAAAAACCTGCAAAATGGCCGACTGTGACACTTGCCATAAATTACAAAGTTTTGGGAAGTCTTTGGAAATTAAAATGTGTGTCAGTATGGTCAATACAAATTAATAATTAATTTAATGAATTTGGCCACAAATTAATTTATAACAAATTGAAATACTACTGTTATAAAAATATACAACAAAAAACATTAAAAAAATATATAATTACAAGATAAATTGACTGAAAATAATCGTTATTACTTTAGAACTTACTGGCGTTTTAAAAATAGGGAAAACATTTCGCGATCAGATAAATACTAGCATTTCATAAATAATCTAAGTGTTTTTCACGTTGAAGCCAAGCTCTGATAAAATTTTCCACTTCTATCGTGTGGACTACACACATGTTTTTTCTTCCATTGTTTTATTATTTAGTATATTTTTTTTGTGAGAAGGTGGCGAGTGAGCTGGCAGCTCTCCTGACCTGATGTTAAGTGATAACCGCCGTCCGCCTTCGCACCCATTGGCATTTGCAACACCCGTAGGGTTACAGATGCATTGCGGCCTACCGAACCTATGCTTTGCAAGCTATGAAATTAGTTTTTGAATAATTTTAACCTACTCTAACAATTACGATTGACTTATCATTCGTTATTTTAGCAATAACTTGTGTTAAATGGTAAATAAAATGGACATTACTTAATAAGTAACAGAAAGGTTTCACCAATTTCGTAAGTAAATCCTAATAAACAACATTAAACGGTATCTCCGTATACCATAATAGGTTCATTGTTTTAAACTGGGTTCTCATGGACTCCTATAAGTTGTTAACTTCGAGGTCACAATTTTTTTCTCCTCAAATTGTGATGTCATTATCAGTACATCTGTCATCCATACTGTTAGTGAAACGCAACACAGTTATAACGTCTTTATTATCGAATTATTATTTAAAGTTATTATTTGGTATATTTGTTTACATTAAAAATATTACACCATGATATAAAGGTTCATTCATCTGAAAGTGATTGGATTAGTGATTGGTTTGACAGACGTCGACAGCGTTCTGTTCTGATTAGTTTAGTGTCAAATTCGGTTTAAAGGGTCGCAAAATCGATAAATGTGAGTACTGAGCTACTGAGTAGTTTTTTCGATAACTAAACTAAAAGCTAACCTCACTTAATCTTGAGCAGATGAATCATAGTTCTAAAACATAAAACCAAGAAATTGCAGTTTATTTTCATTTAATAAAGGACTATGTTACGCATGTGTTTACATCTTTTTTTAGAAACTAATGACAACTTTAATAGATATAGGTAACAAATACAAGTTTAATCAATAAAAATGAAGGAAAGGGTCAAAGTTACATGCAAATGATAGAAACATGGATAAATGTTTTGTCGCCTGTGGCTGCGATGACCATGAAGGAGTGACGAAAAGCGATTTGGACCGTTTTACGGATAAAATTGAAAACGTCTTGAACGATGAAAAAGGGAGGCGGCTATTCAGAAATTTCATGTACACCACAAAGATGAAAGACGGCAGAAGAACTTTAGATTTTTTAGAACACATTGAAAGATTACTTGGTTATTTTGGAGACGCTGAAAGTACATCCTATCGAAGATACCTCAGAGATTTTGATCGTCTTATTGACGAGGCCGAGCGTATAGAGGAATTAGATTTTGCAACCATGGAGAGATTAGCTATTGCGCGCGATTCGGAAAACAAAGACGATATGGCCGATGTATTGAAATTATTAAAAGTTGAAGCTACTAAAGCACTTCGCAGAGAGTACAATGCATTTAGACGACACTTTATTCCCACATAATAAATATTTAAAAAGAGCTACAGTGCCTTGCTTTCTTCTTATTTCCGGAGAATTCTTTTTCAATTTCGCGCCTAATGTTGTGATAGTACTTAAATTATGTATAACACTTATATTGTTAATAGTTTAGTTTCATTCAACTAAGTTGTTTATTTGATATAATAAACAATTTAGTTAAAATGCCTGTTGATTTCGTCCAAACGTTTTAATTGTATTTATATGTTACAGAAATAAAAATACAAAAAATATACTTACATGCTATTGATTTACTTAACTTGTTATATATTTATTATTGCTTGAAGTGCTCAAGTGAGAAATAAAATTTAAATGAGTATGTACTTTTTCTTTTATTGTTTTATTCTTTGTTGTAAAGATGCAGGAAAAACGAAAAATAGCTATGTGAAAATGGTATAGCTGTAATAATAGTTTATTGCTTAAGTGTTGTCTAAATTTTAGATTTCATTAAGTTTCATATAATTTTTTTCTACTTCATTCGTGGTTTTTACAAACATTAAACTGTTTTCTTATATAATTATAAAAAAAAGGATAATTTCTAATATTCTTTTAATCATACATAAAAACACATTTCTTTTAATTGGACATGTACCACTATGTAATAATAAAGTTGAATATATTTCATTATAATTCATTTGTAACATCATTAACATATAAGATTGCACAAAATAATTGTACAAATAAAAAAAAATCCACAATATTACATATTATGCCTTGAATGTGAAATTCAATGATGTTATATTAGTGTATGTGAAAATGTGGTACATAAATTTAAATACTGAGGGAACAAAATAAACATTTGTAAAGATATTACAGAAACTATTCTTTCCAAAATATATAAATTTTATCACAAAGTAATAGAATGTTATTTACTTTCACTTGTATAAAAATTAAAAATAATAATTTCATCAAACTAAGCCAAGTTAAAAGATACCTTATGCTACAACTTTCATTGCTATACATGCTGCAGTCACTAATATATTGATATTTGACATGACAAAATACATTGAATTAAAAAATTAATCTATTTTAAATATATTTTCCATATTACATTCCAATATGACCACCATTTCACTGATAAGAACTGTACATAGTAGTTAGTTTATTGCCTTATATTGTACTATCACTCCTAAGTCATTTTAGTTATATTTCAGAAGCATAACTAAAATGAGATTCATTCCCTTAAGTCTTTTTCCATGAATAGTACATTTCCAGTGGCTTGTTTACCTGAAAATAAAAATTATACAATTTAGTTATGAAATTTCTGAGCTCAGTATTAATATTTAAATTGGTGAGTACTTAAACAGGATTTACAGCAGAATTCGAAACATGTTAAAATTCACTGTGTAACATTAAATAAAGCTAGTGCATTTTTAATTTAATTTAATCACATGTTAACATTCAATTAACTTAAGTGAAATTAAATAAAAAACAATAACTGAATCTTAAGTTTTATAAATGTAATTTGTAGTACTTGTCAGAAATATGTGTTATGGGTAAGCACCATGTAAGATGCTTCTTGTATATATAGTCTATTTTCATAGCTATTTTAACAATAGGGCTGACAAATAATGTTTATTTCCTTATGACTGTAGACCTGATGATTATTATTTTATGACAACTGTAAGGTAATTAAAACAAAGGAGCAACACTGATATAAATCATTTGTTCCTTGTTGGTTTTTTTACCAGTTTTTTTTACATGAAAAGCCACCCTTTCAAAAAATGTATGTAAGTGTATGTGGTTATATAGCATATGGTTACATGGCCCAAAATTAGACATCACTAATGCTAATAATAACAAAAAAGACCCATCACAAACTCACACAGTTTGCAGAGTGTCATGCAATAATTTAAGAAGTTTCCATGTGACCAAAGTTTTGGTTCATTTTTGACTGAGACCATTTGAAAACTAAATCTAATTGTGGTATTATTTTAGTTTCGGATTGAAGCCATAATGAGAAGAATATCCATTTTTTTACTTACTTTCCAAAATTTGTCATTGATCTGTCTCAGCGTTTGAGATCCAGCCAGTGGGACAAATTGACCAGGTGATGGAGCAACATAGATACAGAAATTGAGAAGGCGATATGCTTCTGGCAACTCTGCATCTAAGTCTAATGTGAGGCGCATTGCTAAGTATTTACTCAGATGGTCCACTGTAATTAAACACATCATAACATTATCAGAAAAAAGGCTAGTATATACAACAACAAGTTGTAACATTTAAATGTGGTAGGGCCACGTAACAGTCTTCTCTGTTGCGCAAATGGTCAGGTGATGTGTAGTGTTATACTTCAGCGTTTCATCTGGGTAGTGAAGAAGATGGGGCCCACTTTATTAAAAGATGGCAATGCAAATCCTACAAGTGTTGCAAATGTCAATGGGCGGCAGTTATCACTTAACATCAGGGTAACTGCCGGCTCATTTGCCACCTTCTCACATAAGTTTTATAAAATATGGATAAATTTAGTTGTGCAAACCTTAAGAGGCACAAAATAAAGAACTTTTTGTATATGCATTATTACTACATACATAATATTAGTTCACTAAATAGATACCATTAGTTAAAATATATTTAATTAAAAAATATAAAGTAAAAGCTTTGTTAAAGAAAATCTTCCATAATTTTAATAATTGCACAGGCTCAACAGGGTAGGCAACATTGACAGAAATACAAAACAATTGTTAGGAAATGTAAATCTTACCAGAAGCATTAGCAGTGGTCTTCAGATATCTGACGGAACTGTCTCTTAAAGCTCTCATAAGTTGGTTATCTCCAGTCATTTCTGTGGGATGAGGCTTAAATACTAACTCTATTTCATTGGGGTTTAGCGGTTCCCCCTCCCCTTCTGTATCCATTGAATTTTCTCCTTCAGTTCTGGAACAGGTCAAAGTAAAATTCAACTAGTTTTAAAAATTGTGTTAATAAGAACATCCACATAACATAATTATATGCCTGATGGAAGTATGAAGATATGCAGTGGTATATTTTTTAATCATTGCAGTAGCTCAAAAGGATATAAGCCATGACAAATATCTTTTAGCAGAATTTGTCTGTAAATTGTAAATGTGCATATTGTAGAAAAAAGTAATGAGTAATGGCAAAAATATAAAGTTTATATTTTTACTAAGTCAGATAGGAAAATGATAGAAATATGATTGTAGAGATAGAAATTTCTATTACATGAGAAAGCATTTCTAGACATGGCTGAAACTTTGAAGCTTGGCACTGCTTTCTAAATTCATGGTTATTAAAATTCAATATGAAAACAGACCTGCCATCACTAGATTCACTTTCCTCACTGCGTTCCGATGTGAGAATAGATTTTGCCCTTTTAGTTATGCTTGTGTTTTTTGACACAGAGCTTACATTTGAAGGTACTGGAGATGGCGTACTTCGAACCGACGCTGGGTTGGAAGTAGATTGCCCAGGCGGAGTGGGGTTACCGGTTGACGATGTCCCATCTTTGGGCACGGAGGAACTGCTCCCGTTTTGCGCTGGTTCCGAATTTCCATTTGAGTTCGACTGATTACTGTTCTCTTCGTGATTTTTTCTCGAGCGCTGCGGTCGGTTTTGTGACTGCAGCTTTATTCCCTCTGTTATAGAATTAACTAAAGAAGCCTGTGAATGGGACATGTTCAACTTTGCCAATACACGCTCTTGGTGAGCTTCATATTCATCCCTGCTAGGATAAATCTTAGATATTAATAGATCGAAGTTAGGATCAGGCCTAAGTGAACGCTTTGACACTAATTTTTTGCGACATGTTGGACATTCTTTATTGCCTGATCGGAGTGCAGTAATAATACAATCTGAACAAAATCTGTGAAGGCATTCTTTTGTTGTCATTGTTTTTTTCAACATATCTAAACATATTGGACACATCAGTTCGCTGTGTAAGCTTCTCGGAGATACCGCAATTTCGGTAGCATCGGTAATAACTTCTTGCGGCGTGCGGTTTAGTTCGTATAGCGATAGCTCCCATGTTTTATTTTGGTTTGGCTCTGTCGAGGACATGTTCACGAAATAATATTTCTTATTTACAAAATAATAAACATCTTGATGAAATGACAACTGGAGCCGCTTCCACCATATTGTTGCGCTGCACGCGTAACACACAGAGTAGGGTATGTCGATATATTTTTTTTAAAAATAATCAATATTCTTGTTTTATTTAAATTAAATTTCTATTTAATTATCATACTCACAAATTGGCAATTTTTTGCGCAAGATTTATTAAATGTGTATAAAAAATGTAAAATTGTCTATGGTCGGAAATTTTATGCTTAATTATTGTGGACTCTGTGCCCGGTGACGCATTTGCTAAACTATTTGCTTCTTTGTCGGTGGTTGTGGGTTCATTTCCTATACGCGACAAGTATTAGTTAGGTGTTTGTTTCCAACTAGGGTTTCAGTCGTCGCTCTTAAAAACCTGGCCAAAACCGCTTACATCATGATTCATATGTTGCACCAATCGCATCTAGGTGGGATCATGATAGGAGAATGAAAAGATTATCCTAAATAGTGGTGGAATAAAAAAAGAAAGTAACAGCCTATACAAGTCCCACTGCTGGGCAAAAGCTTTCTCTTTTTACATATGGTATTAGGGCAAAGTTCACCAGCAAACCCCACTGTGGATTAGCTGGCTTCATGACGATTTTCACTGAAAATCACGCTGAAAAATTTTCAGAACATTTTCTGTCTGGCATAACATCTTTGGGGCGCTGGTGATTACATTTCATCAAGTGAACCTTATGCCCGTCTCTTTTGCTTAAAAATAAATAAAAAAAAGAGTGTCTCTTTGAGAGTGATTGCCCATTTTTTGTTCTAATTCAGTATACTCGAGCAACCTGAGTTCAATCCGCGGTACCGGCATCAAAGAAATTGTAATTGCAATTTTAAGTGTTGACTTATCACGTGTTCAGCGGTGAAGGAAAACATCGTGAGGAAACTTAAATGTTTTTGAAGTAACAATTTTTTTTGCGCTGGACGAGACTGTGGCCTTGGGGGCCTTTACAGTTCCGACGAACTTGAGGTGCCGTTTTGCTCGGGGCGCCTAGCCTGAACTTCGGTGTATTATTATTACGCGTCATGGTGACTAAGCTCGAGGGCTCCCGAAGGAGCCTCGGCTCGGGCCGCCACGTTATTATTATCATATGGGTTTGGGAGGCCGCTAAGCTCTTAGGGCGCTCCATGGAGTGGCTAGGCTCAAGGGTCCCCGAGAGGGGGCCTTGGCTTGGGGTGTCACTCAATACGCGTTTAGCATTCCGATTCGAGGGTGCCCAAAGGGGCCAGACCTCTGCTCGAACGGTAGCTATTATCTGACTGGGATGTAACAACAAAATAATGTTTCTAAATATGTGAAGTCCGCCAAACCGCGTGGGGTTGCATGGTGAACTATGCATATTGCATGTAAGATCCCACAGTCGATATTAAGTCTGCCGCTTAATCAATTTAAACGTAAAATTAAAAGTAACGTTTATAGCGTATTATATCATTGCGGAATATCTAGACGACGCCAATGTGTTGAGTTAATACTGTTCATACTCACGTAGACTAAAATAAGAGTACTATTTTTTACTTTTTTTTATGTTGAAAAGTTGCCAAGCGAGTTGACGGTTCATCTGATGTTAATACCGCCGCCCATGAACATCTCCTACACCCGAGTGTTGCAGATGCGTTGACAACCTTTTGGAAATTGGGCTCCAGCCACCTCACTCACCAGACGAAACGCGAAAGTATTATACTTCCACTTTACACCGGTCTTCTGTGAGGTTGTGGTACCTAACCGGACGAGCCTGCCCAATTGTGCAACAGCCGAGGCTGCTGCGTGGTCCTACCACCATAAATTGTAACATTTAAAAAGAGCAACTGAGTTTCTTCGAAAAGAGAGGTCTCTTCTCAACAGAAACTGCTTTCCGAATTGGTGGTTTATGTAAAATTCGACGTTTCATAAGAACGCGCAAGTGCCTATTTAAATAAAGATATTTTGAATACCCTCTGTACAGAGGAGGTCTTTGCCCAGCAGTTGGACATTTCTATGTTGTTACTTTGTTTTAATTGTTAGTTCCGTTGTTTATCTTTCATTAACAGACTATGAAGTTATCACGGTTTCGTCGTCCTACTACGACGTTTATCCTGAGCCCGTGGTTCATTTACCTGTGGACTTCTTCCAAAAAAACTGTTAAAGCTGCGCGCCCCAGGCTAACAGCTAATATTACATTAATCACTATTAATTATCTAATTATTTTTTTATTTATATTTTTTTAATATATCCAATATTTACAACATTAAATCTATCATTCATAAGAATGCGCAAGCGTCTATTTAAAAAAATATATTTTTGATTTGATTTCATATCTCTATCACGCAGCATGCTGGATGCACTTCCTCGTAAATTTCCTCGCCCAATAGATATGTTTTCTCTTTGGGCAAGAAAAGAACCAACCCTAGATACCCTTACCATCGTCGCGCAAAATGTCACAGGACTCTAAAATAGGGGGATTTTTGGAAACAAGAGCCCTACGGATGATGTCGTTCAGAGAACCGTGGTGGGATAAGCGGCTGTTTTTGACAAGAACGTCCGTGGAGACCACATATTTATCTACATTGACACCACAAAGACATTGCTGTAGTTTTTTGTTTGAGGAATATTTGATGTATCTCCAGAGTCCAAGGTGCAATGCCTCATGGAACTATATGGGGGCTAAGCCGAACCTAAAGCAAAAAGAAATGATAATATCGTTTTAGAAATGATGGAGATCTGAGATAACAGACAAACAATACAACCGAATTGTGAACCTCCTCCTTTTATGAAGTCGGTTGTAATATGTAAGATAAGTATGTAATTTTAATGCTATATGAATATACATAGATTAGTTAAGTTTTTGTTATGGCCTTTAATGCTCCCACTTTTACCTATTAAAAATCATCAAGAATCATCGACAATAACCATCCGTCAACTTCTCTGGGTGATAGACGTTAGTGTATGTATTCATTTCCAATATACCACGGTGGGCTGTTCAAGGGTACAAAATATAAAACGCAAAATTACTTTTTTTCTCAATATTTTCTATTTTAATCTTTATATTTATTAGAGACCCCAATGAATTTATTCATAAATTAAAAAAAAGTTTTTGATATTTTGGCTTGTTTATTGATCTGAGTGAATTATGTACCTTATTGTGATATAATTTTCTACTTATTGAGTGTAACAACTGGTGGAGGTAAAAAATTTGACACTTCTCCCCACTAGAATTCTAGTACTCATCCCTATATCTTTTTGACTCACCCTCATAGTTATAAAGATCCACCCTACGTTTAAAATTGTCACGCGATGACTTGATTTAATGAGTAGTGCGCCAGCCCTTTTCATTCCATAATGTTTTTCCTACCTCCTTCAACCTTTAGCCTGATACTTAGTGACAGTCTTTATTACACCGCACATAACCCTTGTAAACCTCAAAGGCCTCATTTAATTTAAAAATTTACTATGAAGTATATGAAATATTCTGAAATTATACAAACTACTTTCTTTACCAGTACGGTTTTATTTTTACTTTCCTCTTAAATTACTAAAATTATGATTAACCATGACTGAATAATTGCACTCTGTGATACAAGCGTTCAAACAATCACTGCGTATTTAAGTGAAAATATTGCTAAATGATCGAAACAAATTGTTGTGAAACCTAGAAATGGAGTTGATCGATTATTTTTAATTTCATTTTTATTTTCTCTTATGTATCTTTTGATAAATTATTTAATTCATTAAAATTTTGTTTCTATTAAATATTTTCTTTTCAGCGAAATATCTTTATTGAACGCTTTAAATCAAACTTAAACTTTCTTGCATGCCTTTTTTATAGCTCAATTAGGGTTCCTATTCCATAAATCTTCTTATTTGTACGCGAAGTAAATTATAAGCATATTCATAGAAATTATTTCATTTTATTACATCATTCATCAGCAATCATTATTAAATTTACGCACAACTACACAAGCTTAAACATTTCATTGTATTATTGACATACTATTACAATTTATGAATATTCTTATTATTTCTAAAGTAATAATCTTTAATATTTGTAATAAGAGAGTTGACAAAATATAAATGCCATGGCAGTTTTAATAACATACTTTCGAAACATAAAAATTACAAAATTAACTTCTTACTCTAGATTTGTTTTAATAAAAAGTGTTTGCCTACGACAACTTACAAAATTGTTATTCGTTGTTAAATCAACGGAAATGCAACGGCGCGGCTTATAGGTACTTAAGTCTAGTCGTTAATAATTTAAATTCGTTTTGCAGTCTTAATAAAATAACTAAGCACCTATCGATCACCTAATTCTAAATATAAAAAAGCGGTTATATACACGATAGTGGATTATTTCTTATATATAATCTATCAAGACTTAACATAGCATGAATAAAGTTGCAGTAATATAAGTTTAACAGCTTGAATAGGTAGTGGTTAAAGATCGTAATTTCAATATTTTTGTCATCGAATAAAATGGAACGAAATCGAATCGATTTAGAGGAAAATTAAAAAAAAAACATCCGTAAAACGGATTCTTTTTTTTTAAATTAATGTACGTCATTTATGTGTTTCTCTACTTAATTCCAAATTATTATAAATGAATAAACAAAAACATTCTGCGCTGCAGGATCCGATCCTGCGTTTTCTGGTTTCACTCTCAGACGCTTTACCAACTAAGGTTGTACCTAGCGTCGCGAAAATATTTACATCATGTAGTGTTTTACTGTTGGTTGATATAAGATGTATTAAATTTTTTAGTAATACTAATTAAAGATTTCTTTATGATTTTTTAAACACAATCACTGTCTCATTGCTCTCTCATTCTGATTTCTTGAATGACGAAGACTCGATGGCAATTAGGGATATCAGAATCAATCGAAATAGGAAAAAAATGATGGTATGAAAATTTGAGAAAATGAAAAAAAAAACTGATACATGTATTAATTGTTATGTGTAGTTAGTGATACTTTAAACAGTGACAAAATTTAAACAGTGAATAACATTGAGGGTCTATTTTTGGATATTGCTCATTGTTAGTGAATGAAAAATAAAATTAACTCCGTTAAGTACATTAAAATAACTAATAGTAAAATAATCCATAGAATTTTTATAAAATTACTATTACATTTGTTTTTTTTTTAACTCGAAGGCGTTATTAAACGCAGTTAAGTTTAAAGCCTCTGTGGGGTTATTGGACAACTAAAAGTTTCAAATAATTGAGCGTTGTAGAAACCAAACCTGTTTCCTATATTATTTTTTTTAGCAATAAACCGTAGTATATTTAATAGGTTTTGTCCGTTCTTTTATTTCCTATAAATAAACCTGATATGATTTTTAAAGGATTATCGTAACTGTTTCTTACTGTTATTAGATATGTTCAAAATTTGATGTATATGAACGAAGTCGGCTTTCTCTATCTACCGTATGCTGTATAAGAGAGAGAGAGAGCCTATGTTATTTGTTGAACCTTTACATACGTTTCTCTAAACGGAATAGAGAAGATATGTGGATTAATTATCAGTTACTTTAGCGTCATTTAATTTAAAATAAAGCCTCAAAATTGTTGAATTAGGGTAAAAGTTTGTGGTACTCCGCGGAGTGCTTGTTCTTCTCGAGCACGTAGAACGATTTCGGCTTCCCGTTGCCCGAGTAGTATTTCCTGAAGGAGGTCTTCTTCGCTGGCACGTAGTAGGCGAGTGCTTCCAGTGAGTTCGGGTGGTTGTTCGCGCCCTTTGGCCATGTAGGGGTGCTTTCCACGTCAATGACGTCATCGTCGAACCTCGCCTGAGGCCTCGTCTTCGCGATCTTCTGCAGCACCGGCAGGTTCCAGTGGTATACACGGGCCGGTTTCCCGTTGCTGGTCATCTGGAGGGGCAGGGTCCGCGCGACGGCCGGTGCGGGGTCCACGTGTCTGTAGTAGCTCGTGTTGGGGGGCAGCTTGATGACGTACATCCTGGAGTCGCCGGTGCCGTGCCGCCTGCCTTGCTCCGCCAGCCGTTTTCGGTGGTGGGCCGCGGGCACCCTCAGCTTCTTCAGGCCAAGGGAGCTCAAGAGCTCGTGAGTCGTTGGCTCCTTCTTGTCGCTGGTGAGGTTGTTGTCGCCCGATTCCGGCGCCGGTGCGGCGCAGGTGGCGGCTATCGCAACCAGGATCAGCGTCATAGTCCTGTAAAAAGAGAAAAACATATTTTAATCAAGTCGTAAGGAGGTTTTAATGCAAATGCTCTCTATGGCCACTAATAGCTATATACCGATAGCACATGGGAACGAATGAGTTCGGACTATTGAGGCTCTACCTAGAGACGAACGCTGTTTACTCGCACAGACATAACAAGTTTGCTGCATTTATTTTCTATTTTTGTTGATATTTGTGCTTTCCGTATACTAAGCTTCATCTCTAGAGAGCTCGTAGAAAGGCTATAAATTCCAGAGTTTGATAGATTACCTATGCAAACTCACTCATGTGGACATGTATGTATTATCAAAACTTAACTTAAAGGGATTGTTGGTTACGCTGATGACGCTCCGGTGTGTGAACAATGAAATCGTCATAACGAGTTAAGGGAGTGGTGAGAACCGCCCTCGGACTCGGGTGTACCTTGTGCATGCGTACCATGGAAACATTAGCCAGAAAATAAATAACCCAGCCGGGGGAGTCTTTAAAACTTTATTGTAAATGCCGTCGTGGTCTGGTGCAGAACGGTATTTTAATCTTTTTATTATATCTTTGACCTGGTATTTTAATCTTTTTATTATATTCAGAGGCCCTATTTGTTTATAAGACAAAGTGGCGAGCGAAATGGCTTATCACATGATCATGACATCTGCAACACCCGTAAGGATACAATCACTCTCTCTACCACATTTTTATAACGCCCTTCCGTCCGTTGAATTGGATAGTGTTCGCGGTATGGAGTTTATTGTATCTCTAAATTGTCCACTGGGCATTATGAATTAGATAATGAAGTAGAGTTAGTTTTTAGGGTGGATTAAATGCCGCATGGATTCGATTTGCTGCATCAAGTATCACGCAGGCATGTACATCACTACATAGTACAAAACAAAATCATCCCGCTGTCTGTCTGTCCCTATGTATGCTTAGACCTTTAAAACTACGTAATGGATCTTGATGCGGTTTTTTTTTAACTAAATAGAGTGATTCAAGAGGAAGGTTTATATGTATAATACATTGCCCCGAAGCCGGGGCGGGTCGCTAGTATATTTAAAATTACGAAAAATTTAAATTTAAAACAAATTAACAGGGTTTTATCAACCATCAGCCGTTTTATCGTATAATTTCTTACTTATATTATATATATGTTTGTAAATTCAATACGCTGTATGCGTTTAATTAACAAAACAAATAATAACTGTCGATGTTGAAAATGACCAGGAAAGATGTGTGAAAACTTAAGACAGGTGAGACATGGCTAGATATTATCAAGACCGTTAGAAGCGAAAGGTCGATTTGTAAAGAACTGTATACACAGGGAATACATAGGTAGGCGCACATTGCCATAACTTCGAAGGCATAAACTACGTGTACCTCTACTTCGAATGCTCGATGCAGTCGGGCGACTGAGCACTTTTTGTTTTTCGCCTTTATTGCCAATAAAGTTATTAGAGACTGTAAAACCGGCGAGAGAGGTTTTGCGCGCCGCACGAATAGACAGGACGATAGAGCACTGAAGAGAAGAGCCGCGCGTAAAAGCCGTCGATTTCTTCGGGACGTCCACTTTTGTCTTAGAAAGCGGTGCGTTGACACTGGCTAAGTTGTTTGTACAGTCCGCCGATGGCACTCGACTGGTCAAATATGCCGTGCAGTGTGGGCACTTTGTTTTCCGACTGTACGTAGTGGTTTTAATTTGTTCTCAGTGGGACAAATTATTAATAATGTAACAACAGCACAAATTATTATTAACATGTTAGTTTTTTGATTATGCAGTGAGCTAGATATTTCGTAATCTAAAGTTACTGGTTCAATAACTAGTCGGTTAGAGCAAAATATTCATTTTAGTGTCTGGTTTGACGTATACAAGACTGTCATCTGTCAAGATTGCAGCAATTTTAGTACATCTCTGATAGAATTAGCTATCTCTGTTTCTTTCATCATAGTTAAACCTGTTTTTTCGGTAAAGCGGTTTTCGGTTAAGTAAAAATATAAAAAATGGGGAAGAAAACAACAAAACGCGTTCTTGCTGCTAGCCTGGGGTGGGATATAAGGCATGAGTTTTCTCCGTTTTAACATTTTTCTTTTACTTGATTTTAATAGTTTCTTAGTCGTATTTCTATCGCCAGTTAGTGTTCGCGTTTCTGTCGCTAGTTAGTGTCGCTAGTTAAGCAAAGTGTGCAACACTAGGCACGAGCCGTGGTTGTTCCTCGTGAATAACCGTCGTCGTGTTTTAGTAGTCATTAACATATAAGGTTCCCAAGCGTATGGGAACACCAGAGTCATCAATATTATTATTTGTAAAATTGAAGGTGGGCGGAGGAAAACTTAGTTAACAGAATGAATGAAATAAACATTTGTTTAGGAAAAAGGGTTTTATGATTAACATAGGCAGTAATAAATTCCAATAACGCAAGAACAACGTGCAAGTTATCGCGGGCCTAGTTAATAATAATAAATAATAAGAAAAATTCATTCCCGCCAATTTTTACCGCCATCACATTAAGCAATGGCGCCCTAACGGCCTCCGTGCGCGTTCACGGAGTGCGTTGTCATAAAAGCGGCGTATAGGCTTGCGCGTTTCGCCGTCGTCCACGGTGCCCGTTCGTTACTAGGAATCGAGACAATGCGCGCTTGTGCGAGTCTTTGAAACGTATCCGCTCATTACAATAAGCCTGCAGCAATGGCGGCCTCGTGTCAAATGGACGCTGGCGGGCTCGGCCGCACATAAAGCTTTGACGCAGTATTGCAACGCTCCAAACTCTATGGAACCGATAGATTAGTCTATACGGATGTTATAAAAAATCTTTGTGCGGTTGAAAGTGAATTGAAGAATTTAGACAATTCTGAAGTTGAACCTGTTCTGATTAATCAGTTCATTATAGGAAGTTTTGTATTTTGCAACCACAATTTTTATAGAGAATTAGTCTGAACGCTGACATATTTGAAGGTTATCATGCAATTTTAAAATACATTTTTTGACCATGATACTGGAACATCTCTAATAAGACGATGAATTTATAATTAAAATAGGGTAGCAAATGACCTCCGTAATGCGGAAGTCTAGATATATTTTGTTTAATCGCAAAAACTCATTAGCCAATTAATGTTTGCCTTCACACGGAAAAAATACAATAATGGACAATGTAAGTGGGTAATTCTAAGGTTAGAAGTTATTGTATTAGAACAGAAGTGTTGTCGCAAGGTCATGTCCATGATTCGCTGAAACTATGTCCAGATTCCTCGTTGAACAACTACCAATGAAGTCCAAATAGGTTCCGCCTTTATTGTGATAAATCGCGATAAATATACACACGAATGAAAAACTATGTCACATTCACAGACAGATAATTTCTATATTTTGTAAAGATGTATACAGACATACGTAACATTTAACATTGCGAGGGTTACTATCAAGATATCAACATCAAAACAATACATTTACATACTAGATAATGGCATGGAACCCTTCGTACGCAATTCCGACTCGCACTTGGCCGGTTTTTTTGACATTAAAATACTGACACATGTATACATCGTTACATACAGATGAAGTTAATGACAACATGTTAAGAAAGAAACATTTTCAAGCAAGTCATTCGATCCCCGTCTTGTTTTACCTTATGGATTTCTCTATCGTAATGTCTCCATTCGTTCGCTACAAGCTTGTCCAATTAATTAATCTCATCTAAGCTCCGCGAAATGGACTTGCAACGCGGGCTTGTCCGGATGAGTTAGGGCAGAATTAACTCTTATTACGCACCACACTTGGTGATTCCGGAAAATTCACGCGCGTAACGTTCCACTTTCTCGAATGTCGGATGTGAGTGATGAACAACAGAATACGGAGACTCGACCTTTACAGCGATGACATAAAGTTCAGCGATTATTTAACATCGTGACTGGCTTCTATGGCGGCACTATTTCCATTGCGGATGACGCAAAAAATGTAAGATAAGCTTCCACTTTTGTATCTTCAAATCGGAACTAGTGTTTTGAAGGATATAAGCGTATATAGGAGAAGTATCGCGCGTGTAAAATGACAGTAAAATTTTGAAGTTTCGAAACATTAAATACGTTAACGAGGTCAAATGGCATGCTTTTTTAGAATGATAATTAAAAGTAACAAATACACTTAGGTTTTGTATATTAAACTGAATCCAATATCTTACATTTCATGAAAAGGGAGACAATCTACAGTATGCGTGCTACAAAATAAGGACTGTCATAAAGTCGTAGAAGATTTTATTGCACTTTTACACCGAGTAGGGTACGGGCAAATTTGCGAGTAATAAACCATAACGTTGTACGATCTAGGCACATAAGCTGCATGCGATGAACTTAAAAAGAATAAATCGAAGGCTCCAGGAAAGAATGTAAAAAGAACGCCGCTTCACTGGCTTTCTCGAACCTTCCAAGGGTTCCATCAACGTAAATCTCTGTTATCTAGATTCAATATTGACAATATGTCTCATGTATTAATTCATTCTTGTTAATGATGATAACGATAATAGGTTACGACAAGATGGACTATTTTTATCGGCTGTAGGATTTTTATTATTGACGACCCGATCCACGTAGTGGGTAGTGCCCCTGCCTCTTAAGCTACAGGGCCTGGGTTCAATCCCCACTACTGGAAAATATTGATGTGATGAACATAGTGTTTTTCCAGTATTTGGGTGTTTATATATTTATAATATGATTTTTTTTGCAAAAAGAAGTATGTTTGAGTATGTTTATAGTTATCTAGTACTCATAGTACAAGCGTTGCTTAGTTTGGGACTAGAAAACGTTGTGTAAAAATGTGTCCTAAAATATTTATTTACATATGCATGAATATGCAAATCATGTCCGCGTGGTTAAAGCAGTCAATCCGTCAGGATATGTAGAATGATTGGCCGACATATGTGGGACATTTCAGTACGAGGAATACCGAAAACCGGTCAAACGTGTCTCGGGGCTCATTTTGATAAAATTTAGAAACGTTTAACAT